AGGTGGAGGTGTTTAAACTAATTCTAGATAAGTCTGAATGCTTTCACTAGCAAAGCATGCTCACCAGTAAAATGTCACATTGCAGGCAAGAAGAATGGGGAAGATTAACTGTGACACTGTCGTTCCTCCAGTAATCAAGGAAAGTAATTCTTTTAGGACCAAACTCCTAAAACATCCCAGATGCAGGAAAATAATGTCTCTAATCCTAGCACTTTTGAGGCAAAGGCTAAGAATGGTGTGGTTTCAAGGCCAGCCTGTGCTAGATAGTAAGTTCCGGGACCACCTGAGCTACAAAGTGAGAGCCTACCCCCTCCAAAAAAAGGCTCAAAACTATCCAATAGCCACAGAATATGTTTAGCTAATATTAATATCAAGTTCTGTGATGGCTGTTTTTAGTTGTCAATTTGATTAATGTATCTGTGAGGATGTTTCCAAAGAGGTTTGCTTGGGTTTTCTTGTTTTGTTTTGTTTTTTGAGACAGGGTTTCTCTGTGTAGCCCATGATGGCCTGGAACTAGCTCTGTAGACCAGGCTGGCAATAAACTCACAGAGATCCACCTGCCTCTGCCTCCCGAGTACTGGGATTAAACATGTGTACTACTGTGCCGAGCTTTCCCAAAGAGGTTTGACTGAGGGGAAGACCTGGCTGAATTCAGGAGGCACCATGTGCATGAACTGGAGACTCAGACTGAAGAGACAAAAGCACCAGCTTTCCCTTCCTCTGCTTCCTAGTTTGGACCAGGTCTGCCATGTCCTTCCCACCATGATGGCCTGTAATCCTCCCAACTGTGGGCCAAGAGACACTCTTCCTCTCAAGTTGTTTTGTCTGGAGCATTTATTCACAGCAACAGGAAAAGTTGTGACATGGGCTCACTGAAATGACAAATGTAGTAAGAACACATTACATAGAAGGACAATTTCATTTGATGAAATATGGTGGGAATTTCTGGACTTTTTCGGAAAATTAAGAGTCCTTCATAGTTAAACAAGAGTAGAAAACTACTGCCCTGAAGAAACCTAGCAATTAAGACGAATATGGGGGGCATAAGTATGCCAGAAGGAGTAGAACCCCCTTCTGCAGAATGTAAATTAACAGTAGTAAGAACACCCCACCAATAAAAAGAATAGAGAAACCCAGAATCCTGATTGAAAACCCATTCCTAGGAACTCCCCCTCCTCCACTGACAATCCTGAGCATCTGCATTGAGTTATATTCAGTGGGCCCATGGAGTTTGGTGGAACACAGAGCCAGAGAAACTTCTAAACCCTTGTGACAATCAACATAACCATCACTGCTCCATTAGCCTACTCGAAGCACTACATGGTTTCCAAACTCACATTTCATTTGGGTTAGCACCTAGTACAGTTTGGATACAGTTTGCATGAGTCCCCCAGAGGTGCCTATGCTGGAAGCTTTGTCCCCAGCGTGTCAGTGTTCAGGTGGCAGAACCTTTAAGAAGTGGAAGCATGGGCTGGAGAGATAGCTCAGTGCTTACAAGCACTTGATGCTCTAACAAAGGACCTGGGTTTGATTCCCAGCACCACATGGCAGCTCACAATCATCTGTAACTCCCAATTTAGGGACTCCAATGCACTCTGCTGGCCTTCACAGGCATCAGGTGTGTGTTTGTGCAAACGCAGACATGTCTGTGTGTGTGTGTGTGTGTGTGCTTAGACTTGTTCTCAACTAGCTCTTATAACTTAAATTAATCCATTTATTCTTCTTTTTTTTTTCTTTTTTTGGTTTTTTGAGACAGGGTTTCTCTGTGGCTTTGGAGGCTGTCCTGGAACTCGCTCTTGTAGACCAGGCTGGCCTCGAACTCACAGAGATCCACCTGCCTCTGCCTCCCAAGTGCTGGGATTAAAGGCGTGCGCCACCTACATTCTATCACATATCCCATATTCCAACTTGTTCTGAGTCTGCTGGCAAAATCCATACACCTAGATTCCTTCTCCTCTTCCTCTCTCTCTCTCTCTCTCTCTCTCTCTCTCTCTCTCTCTCTCTCTCTCTCTCTCTCTCTCTCTCTCTCTCTCTCTGCCAGAAATCTTGCCTCTCCTCTCCTGCCTAACTATTGGCTGTTCGACTCTTTAATACATCGATCACAGCAACACATCTTCACATACTGTATAAATATTCCACAGTAGAAAGTTGCTTGTTTTTTAAGATAAAGCCTTGAACTCACTGTGTAGCTGAGGCTAATCTTGACTCCTGTTGATTCGCCTTAGGTTATAGGTATATACCACCAAACCCAGCTTGCCATCGTTTTGTTGACTTCTCTTTTTGGATAAAATATGACAGGTATTTTTGTTTTGCTTTGTAGATAACCTGTTATGCTATTTGTCCTTTTTTTATTTTGGTTTTTCGAGACAGGGTTTCTCTGTATTGTTTTGGAGGCTGTCCTGGAACTCGCTCTGTAGACCAGGCTGGCCTCGAACTCACAGAGATCCGCCTGCCTCTGCCTCCCAAGTGCTGGGATTAAAGGCGTGTGCCACCAACGCCCGGCTGCTATTTGTCCTTTTTTCTCCCTTAACTTGCAGTGACTTTCTGTCTTTCCCTTTTCAATGACTTCATGGTGGAAAAAGGTCCACTTTTTGGTGCTAATTTTAGGACTGGATATAATAATCTAATGTGTGTTTTACTGTTCATACAGTTTTGAGCCCTGAGTAAAAACATCCCTTCCTTGGGTTACCAAGGAATTATAATCCTCCAGACATCCTTATGTCCTCCAAGATTAGGCAGGTTGAGACTTCTGATCCTTGAATAGGCAGGATCTACATCCCTGGTCAGCTTTAAGAAGCCTCAGAAAATGGAATTTCTGCTATCATTAAGGAATTAAAGTCCTATAGGCAAAAATTAAAAGTTGAAATGAAAGGCAGGGGAACTAAGAGGTCTTGGCATTGGTAAGGAACTCCTCAACTCTGTTATCTGGAAATCAAGGAAATCCCGGAAACAGGATTACCAATTTGTCATCAAACATGCTTTGCCTTCCCCTTGACTTAGTGTCAAGACTTTCTTAAGCTTTTGACCCTCACCTTCATCTACTCAACCTATTAACCTGTACCACACACCTCATACATCACCTTGTGAGCTCGTTTCCTAATGAAACGCTCTTTAGAAAAAAATCATGCCAAAGCCTTTTCATTTAAGCTCTCTCTCTCTCTCTCTCTCTCTCTCTCTCTCTCTCTCTCTCTCTCTCTCTCTCTCTCTCTCTCTCTCTCTTTGATTTTTCGAGTCAGGCTTTCTCTGTGGCTTTGGAGGCTGTCCTGGAAGTAGCTCTTGTAGACCAGGCTGGTCTCAAACTCAGAGTTCTGCCTGCCTCTGCCTCCCAAGTGCTGGGAATAAAGGAGTGCACCACCACTGCCTGGCTTTCCCTTAAGCTTTTAAACATTTTGGGCACTGTAACTCCAAAAGCCACCAACATCTACTATCATCTATTGTTTATTTTGGTTTTCTGCCTAACACAGAGTCTCATGTAGCCATGCTTGACTGAAACTCACTTTGTAGCTGAAGGTAGCCTTGAACTCTGATCCTTCTGCTTTCTCTATACAGTGTGAAGACGATACATTTTCATTACTACAACGGGTTTAACAAATAGTTTCTGTAAACATACTTAAATGTGTCTCTCTTTTGAGAAGTCTCACAAACTGTGTAGTGCTGGCTGGTCTTGAACTTACCGAGGTTTTCCTATCTCTGCCTCCCAAGTGCTGAGATTAAAGGCATGTTTCCCCATTTTTGTTTGTTGGCAGACTCTCTTGAAGTCAGGCTAGACTCAAATCAGAGAGACAATCAGTGGAGGATGACCTTGAATATCTGAGCCCCCTGATCCTACATCTTCTACCTCCCAAGTGCTGGGCAGAGGCTTGCCTCACAAATAAAAGGTGTTGTGTTCAATGTCCCATTGCTAAAAATCTGAATAAACATAAATCGAATTATTAACTTGCCACTCTATTTCTTTCCTCACAATCCCCAATGACTCTTTCTTTTCGGTTTAAATTCCAGTTCTTTGCCATTAATCACAAGACCATGTGTCTAGTTGCCAGCATTTGCTTAAGGTTTTGCAAAGGTCGTATCATAGGTCAAGGTTGGTGGGTGTTTTTTGTTTGTTTGTTTGCTTGCTTGCTTGTTTTAATAGTTACTTTTCTCAAAGGAGTGTTTCCTGGCACATATTGGGTGTTTCTTTTAATAGTCACTTTTCTCAACGGAGTGTTTTCTGGCACGCATTTTTCAAATATTTAGCACATTATTAAAGTTCTAGTAAAATGAAAATTCTATCGAGTATTTTCTGTACACTCAAGGCTCTTCCTAGCAGCAATGCTTAAAGTACTTCTAGCCCTCAGTGTCCAAATCAACATTCATGTCCTTGTCCATTGCATCTACTCAATTCTCAATGCCCCGCAAGATAAATGGTTCACTGTCCCCGAAGCTCCATGCTCATATATTAACGAAGGGAACGCTAAACTCATGTCTGTCGTTACTACTGTGAAGTGAACAACAAATCCTGAGGCATTCTTAATTTCTGGGGGCGGGGGGAGGCGCAGAGACTGGATCTCAAGTAATACAGGCTGATCTGACACTCTAGCTGAGAATGACCTTGAATTCTTGAGCACAGGCATGCACCACCACTCTGCTCGCTTTGTTTGTTTTTTTTCCTCGTTCTATAGCTAATGCTCAACACACTGTCTCTTCTAAGTGAATTTTACGCCATTAAGCTTAAATAAAATTTAAACGATTTACGAATGGTGGCAACTTCCTCGTCTCCAAATTACATACTTCGTTATACATATGGAACCTTTCCAGAAAGTAGCAATTCGCGGCTCACGGAAATAACGGACACTTTCGGAGCTGAGCTACTCTGCTGTCTACCTTCACGCTTGCAGGTGCCAGCCGAGGTACAGGACGCAGACTCCGTCAGTCATGGGACGCGGGAGGCTCACGCACAGGCGGTCCAATCCTGAGCATGCGTGGACAGCAGCGCGCAGGCGCGGGACAGACCGCGCAGGCGCTGTGCGCGGTTGTCGCTGTGAGCGGATCCACCGGGGTTCCGGCATGCCGGGCCGGCTTCTTGTTGCCGTCTCCCGGTCGCCTCCGCACCATGGAATGCCTGCGTTGCCTGCCCAGGATGCTACCCCGCGCCGTGCAGTCCCGGCGGGCACTGTGTGCGGCGCCCCTGAGCTCCGCTGTCTGCAGCGGTCGCTCGACCCCGCTGCTCTTCGGGAGCCCGAAGGCGCCGTATTCGCCCCGCGCTGCAGGTACGCGCGTCCCACGGGGCCCCGCGCCCTTGGCCCCGCCGTCCTCACCGCTGCGCGACCTGCCCGGCTCACCCAGCCCGCAGTTTTCAAGCCAGCACCTCGGGGACTTGATTGTGGTTTCTAGTTTGCTTGTGGCTTCTAGTTTGCTTGTTGTGAGACAGGGTCTCCATCCCAGGATGGCCGCGAACTGTCAAAGTCCCCATTCTCAGCCTTCTGAATTCTGCAGTTAGAAGCGTTAACCGTTGTTTTTGTTGTCGTTTAAATTTAGCGTTTCAGTGTTGTCCGAGCATGCATGTGCCTTTCTCAGTGTGTTATGTGTGGAGGTCAGATGACAGCTTGTCCGAGTTAGTTCTGTCTTGCATCGAACTCAGTTATTAAAGCTTGGCGGCGGGCGTTTTGTTTTTTGGTTTTTTTTTGGGGGGGGAGTTGGTTTTTTGTTTGTTTTTTGTTTTTTGCTGGTCGATTCATTTGCTCAGCCGAAATATTGGTTTTCAGGACTGTACTTTTATACATACTTTTTCTTGACACTCCTCTCCCTCCTGCTGGCCTTTTTTGCCTCTGTATGCCCCCTTCTGCTTTCATATCACAGAATTATGTTAGATTGGGGTTTTTAATTTTTAATTTTGGTTTTTCGGGGTAGGGTTTCTCTATTGTTTTGGAGTCTGTCCTGGAACTCGCTAGGTAGACCAGGCTGGTCTCGAACTCAGAGATTCGCCTGCCTCTGCCTCCCGAGTGATTAAAGGCGTGCTCCACCATCGCCCGGCTTAGATTGGGGTTTTTAATTTGCTTGTTTTGAGACAGGCTCTCATTCTAGCCCAGGCCGACTTGGAACTCACCATGGAGCCCAGACTAAACTCGAAGCTAGGTAGCATGAGCTACCACGATTAGCAATATTGGGATGTTATTGATTATGTTAATTTTGTTAATTTTTCTTCTGGCCACATGTATACAATTATACAGTTGCCCTGGTATAGAATAAGGGATTCCTGGAAGTGAGGTTGAAGAATCTGAAGCCAGTGGCTAGCCTTGATGAAGTCTGCTCTTAAACTGTGTAAGCAGACAGCCAGGGAGCTCTGAGTGAAGAAAGGAGGCTTTGCTGCTTGGTGCTTTTTGTCACCCAATGAGGAAATGTGAAGAAAGTGTTTCCACAAATGTGAGTGCAGGCTCTGCTCAAAAACAGAGTCCTAACAGCAGTGCCTTCGGGTACTTTTTGTAAAATTATACTTAAAAGTTTCCCCGAAATGAGATGCTGTCAGTCAACCCCTCTTTCCCTCACTCAGTCTTTTTATATTATATGCCTTTCCCTCCCTGGATAATGCTTAGGAACCAAGTGGTCTGCAAGATGCAGGGGCTTTTAGTGTAAACATTGAAATCCAGAGTAGTAATCCTGGTGACACTTTAAGGCCTGACACTTGTTCAGTCCCTAGAGCTTACAAGGTAGAAGGGGAAAATAGATATCTGCAATGTGATTTCTGACTTCCACAGTGCTTGCACACCAATAACCAAATGTAAATTTTATTTATTTATTTACATTTGTGCAGTACTTGGGATAAAACCCAGGGCCATGTGCATGTTAGACAGGCACTGAGATTGCCTCAGCTACAGCTGACCATTCCAACCATAGAGAGAGAACCGACCTCCGGTAGTTAACAAGTTGTATAACTTTAGTACTTGGAAGCAGTGGGAAGGAATAGTGACAGAGTAGTTAGGGAAGAACAGCTAGAACCCTGACATTACAAGTGTTTCTTTTTCTAGTAGGAAAGAGTTTCAAAATTCAAGGTATTCTGAAGGTTCCCTGTACTGTGAGAATTGCAGTTGAGCTTCCAGGAAAAGTCATGCCCATAGGACATTCATTCTCTGATTTTTTTTCTTAGGTGATGCTCACCGGTCTAGAACTTCTGATGCCTCTCAAGCTACTTTAGCCAGTGTGGCCCAGGTGTTTGCTGTGGTGAGTGCACCTCATCCAATAACCTGCAAGAAGCACCTCATGCATGCTAAGTTCACAGGGTGGGATTGTTGGCTGAGGTATTTGGGTTGAATTTGGCCTGTGGCCCTAATGCCTGATATTGGTTTAGTGGCACTCTTGAAACTTCCCTAATGATTGGGTTTTTGCTGTAGAGACAGGCTGCTCAAATGGCAGCGCAAAGTTTTCATTTTTCCAGTAGAATGAAAAGTTTATATAGTACATATTAAGGGTTCCCACCAACAGCTAGTTTTGTCTTTTTTGAAACAGGTCTCATGTAACTTTGACTGACTTCAGATTGGCTATGTGATCTTGAGCTGGTCCTAGTGTGCTCCTCCATGCTAGGTTTTAATGTGCCATCACACCTACTTTATGTGATCCTGGAACCTGAACCCAGGACTTTTTGTATGCTAGGCAAACCCCAGTCCCAAAGTTTCCTTTTTGAGCACTACAGATTTTCTGAGTTTGTTTAATGCCTTGGAAGCTAGTAACCATTGAGAGACTTGGAAGATGCTCATGAGGCAACAGAGTACAGTATTTAAGTGCATGTCTGAAGGGTGGGGGTGATCTCAACTCTGAAGTGAGTCGGTTGAACTAAATGAATTAATGACACATCTGTCTGCAGGGGAGGCGGGCGCATGTATGTGTTTAAGAAATAAGGGCTTAGGTCTCTTTCTGCTCTCCTCTTTTTCTGCTCTCTTCCAGCTCTCTTACTGCTCTTTTTCTGCTCTTCCCATGGAGCAGACAGGACTTTTCCTGTCTCCCTCTTCTCTTCTGTGTCTCTTTACCTCATTTCTCTTTCCTTACCCCTTCCTTCCCTTTCTAATAAAATCCTCTCTCTCTCTCTCTCTCTCTCTCTCTCTCTCTCTCTCTCTCTCTCTCTCTCTCTCTCTCTCTCTCTCACACACACACACACACACACACTCAAAGGAAATAAGGCCTTTGGTGGCAAAAAGAAACTTAAGTAAAATTGCAAATTGATTGTTTTTGCAGCTCATTTTGTAAGCTTTTAAGGTTTCTAAAAAAAACGTTGGAAGAGTAAGTGCTTGACCTGAGGCAGACTTCCTGGGTTTAAACCCCAGTGTACTCTCTTGCTATTGGGAGATTTGAACAAGTTATTGTGATATCTTGTACCTTGGTTTTCTCATGAATAACTAGGAATAAACTGCCTTAGGTAATCGTGAGGGTAGAAGGAAGCTGAGATAACATCATTGTATTTAATTTGCTCATTTTTGAGCTAGAAATAGACATGTTTTAGGGACTGGAGAGAAAGCCAAGCACCCTCTACTGTTCCAGGGAACTTGAATCTTACTCTCAGCACCCGAACTGGGTGGCTGACAACCACATTAGCCACAACTCCAGGGGTCCAACACCTCCTGTACTCCAGGTACATACACAAACATACACAGACACAGTCATAAAAAGAAACAATTAAAGCACTTATAAAAACTACTTTAAAAATGAAAGTAACTCAAATCCCGAAAACAGTGTCTAAGACATAATAACCATCCAGCATGTTATTCTCTACAAATATTTGGGTTTAATTAACCTTAGCTTCTTAAAGAACTTTAAGGCAGGGTCTCACTGTGTAAGCTTCACTGTCTGACCTGAAGCACTCTGGATCAGCCTCTGCCTCCCACATGCTGGGATTGAAGGTGTGTACCACCATGCCCTGCTAAAGTATTTGTTAGTTTTTTGTTTTTTCAAGACAGTTTCTCTGTGTAAATTAGGTTGACCTGGAACTCAGAGATCTGCCTGCTTCTGCCTCCCGAGCACTGGGATTAAAGGCATTCACCACCACCACCTGGCTAAAACAACTTTTCCTTATGGACAGTATAAGAATTGCTTGATTCTTTTTTGTTGTTTTTGGGTTTCTTTTGTTTTGCTTTGCTTTGCTCTGCTCTTTTGAGAATCTTACCAGGCTGAGCTAAAACTCACTGGTTAGCCCAAGCTAGCCTCGTACTAGTGACAGTCTTCCTGCTTCAGCATCCCACGTGCTGGGATTGTAGTTCTGAGGCACCATGCCTGTTTCTGCAGAATTACTTGGAAAGTAATTACTCTTGGTCAGTTTTCTGGAGCTGGTCAGCTCCACAATAGAATCAATCCTAGTCTGTGTAACCCTAGCTAGTCAGGAGATGGAGGCAAAAGGATTTGAGTTTAAGGCTTGCCTGGACTACACAGTGAGCCAACTCTCCTTCCCTGGAGAAAATAGTCAGATAAGGACTGAAAGAAAATTCTTTGTAGGCAAAGTAAGTTTCTCCCAAGAACATTGATTCTGTTGGGAAGGTAAGCTAGTTACAAAGTAAACATTTTAATTTTTTGTATGCTGTCTTTCAGAAAAGGATCCCATTAAAGAAAAATGACACATAAATTTTGAGATGTAAAAATACCTAGTGTTAGTAGAGGTATGTTTTATAGGCACACTGGAAAACACCCTGTAAGTTATTATTGGCATAGTGTTCTCTAAAACTTGTCAAATTGTGTGATTATTTAAGTAGTTTTACAAATTTTCTTATTTTCAGCAGTGATTATATGTGCTTAAGAAATAAGTCTAAGGAACTTGCATAAGACAAAACTAGAATGCCTTAATATAAGTGACAATGGTGTAACTGGGACATTATATGAGACCACTGGCAATGGGTCCAAGATCTAACACTAATGCACAAACTGACTTGTGGAGCCCATTCTATATGGAGAGATACCTTGCCCGGCTACAGGGGTGTGGGTGTGGAGAGGAGCCTTGGTCCTGCCTCAACTAGATGAAGGGACAGACTTAGTAGACTTCCTGGGGAGGCCTTACCCTCTTTGTGGAGCAGATGGAGGAGAGGTTGAATTGAGAGAGTGGGAGGGACGGAGGGAGGGAGAACTGGGATTGGAATGTAAAAAATAAATTAATAAAAATATTTTAAAAAGAAATCTAAGGCAAGCTAGTCTATATTACATGGATACAAAGCTTTTATTAAAAATTGACTTTGGCATTTCCTGCTGCTTCTGCCCTCCTGCTGATCAGATCTTTGTTCATGAGAAGCAGACTGAGTATTATAAGGTTTGTTGTGCTTCCGCTAACACAGCCTACACTGTGCTTCCCGTGGATTGTGTTTACTGTCTTTCTTTTTTTTTTTTTTTTTTAGGTTTTTTGGTTTCTTTCAGTTTTTTTTAGAGACAGGGTTTCTCTGTATTGTTTTGGAGCCTGTCCTGGAACGCGCTCTGTAGACCAGGCTACGCTCTGTAGACCACACTGGCCTTGAACTCACAGAGATCTGCCTGCCTCTGCCTCCTGAGTGCTGGGATTAAAGGTATGCGCCACCAACACCTGGCATGTTTTTACTTTCTAAAGTGGAACAGTCCAACCCTTCACATTTGACTCCTTCAACCATGACTGACACAAGCATACGGAAAAGTGTCCCTCTACTGAGCAGAAATTAATGTGACCTCATGTGTGTTGGGATTGCTGCCAGCAGGCAACTTTTCTGTACATTTCTACTCATTCTGCAGGGCCTGCCAGAGACTCTTAGCTCCGAGAAGACATTTAGATTTGTGAAATAGGCAGTCCTTGGTCCCATTCTGCTGAGAAGGCTAAAAAGGCAACAAGGCAGGGCATCATGTTTCCACTGAGTGGTGTTCCCAACCCAGGAATCATTGTCAGTCCTTTACCAGCCAGGAAGTTCTTGCAGCCACCTGAGGTTTCCCTAGCCTGTTAACTGATGAATTTGCAGAGGAGGATGTAAGACCCATGGCTTAAGAGTTCCCCAGGCCTCCCGGCAACACACTTCCAGGGCCCCCACAGTGAACACAGCAAGACTTAAAGCATGTCCTGCCCAATGCATTCACTCATCAGGCCTCTGTTACCCAAACAAGGTTACCTGGAGACAAGACTGATTTCTCCTGAATGGATTTCTTTTTTGGTTTTTCGAGACAGGGTTTCTCTGTGGCTTTGGAGGCTGTCCTGGAACTTGCTTGGTAGTCCAGGCTGGTCTCAAACTTACAGAGATCCGCCTGCCTCTGCCTCCTGAGTGCTGGGATTAAAGGCGTGCGCCACCAACGCCTGGCCTGAATGGATTTCTAGAGGAAGTCAATCTACCAGGTTTATTAGCAAAGGAAAGGGTTTTTTTTCTTCTGACTTCTGCAGCCATATTTAACTTAAGGTCAGATATGATTTTTAGCTGCATTTCAAAATTTTAAGGCTGTTTCTCAGAACATAAATACACTGAATTGAGATTAATATTTGTTTTTATTATCTTTAGACAAAGTTTGACAAAGAAGGAAATGTTACTTCTTATGGTGAGTATCTTATCAGTGAACTAGTGAATTGGTGGGAAATTGGAAATTGTAGCGTTAGAGTACAGTGTTCTTTGTATTTGCTACTGTGTTGAAGGAAGTCCCTCCTCAACATTTGTTCATCAGCCCTCGTGGGACGGCAACCACTGTGGACAGGTCTCTGCCTTACTTCCTTTTGACAGGAGTCACGTGGACTCCCAGGGTGTTTAGAGTAGAGCTGAATGTAGAGGTGTTGTTCCTCTTTCTGTCAGTCTCCCTTACACAGCCCTTCAATTTCTAGTCATTATGAAACAGGTTTAAAGTAGAATTACCATCCCATTTTGTCATCGTCCGTCTGCCCTCCCCCCTTTACAATGAGAAAGATGGAGGTGTAAGGCACTAGGTGGCAGTCATGTGACAGTCTGCCTCTGGACAGCACTCCTAAATATGGAGCTAGGTATTGCTTCACCTGAGGCTCCTGTTTCACCTCTCCCCTGCAGCCCGGTGGTCCTGTTCCATCCTTGCTTAGGTCCTCGTATTTGAGCCAGGGTCTCCTCCTAAGCTTTTGTGCATACAGTCCTGTAGGAGGTGTGGCTTGACACAAAGACGATACTGCTGTCCCCAGCCAATCACAAGTTTCTCTCATCTGCTGTATTCTTAGCTAATAAATTTCGTTTTCAGATAGAAGAATCTACTGTGGGTATCAGCTTTTCTCAGATTTTATTTGTTCAGTACTAAATTACTAAATTCACTCAAAGATTCACAACACTGAATATGATGCTATGGTGGTTGAAATAGAAATATAGGAACTGGAGAAATGGCTCAGCAACTAAGAGCAATTGTTCTTGGAAAGAACCCAGGTTAAGTTCTTAGCAGCTATACGGTAGTTCACAGCCATCAGTAACTCGAGTTCCAGGGGATCCAGTGTAGCAGTCTGGTCTCCACAGACACCAGACATGTGATGCGTATCTGTATATGTAGGCAAAACACTCACATACATACATAAACCTAAAAATCCAGTTAATAAAATTCATTTTCAAGAAAAATATGACTGTGGGCTGGAGATATAGCTCTGTTGGTAGAACTTACCTAGAACGCTACACTACCTAGATTTAGTCCCAGCAACAACTGGATTTGGTTCTGCATGCCTACAATCATGTTTGAGGTCATCTTTGGCTTTGTAAGGAGTTCAAGGACAGGCTGGGATATACGATATCCTGTCATAGAGACAGACTATGTCCAGAGGTAGAGATTGCTGCTGTAGGTTCTTACCATGCTTGATTGTGGTTTTTATATTGGTCCCTAATGGGCTGCTGAGCACAGTGAAATGTTCTAGAAAAATACAGAAGTGAAGGAAGAATTTGAGTTAGCATAATCTGCCTTTATGGTCAGAATAGGTATTAAAGACTCACATAAGCCTTGTTTTTGATAATAACAGAAAAGTGCTGGTAGGGACTATAGGAGCCCACAGTCTCTGTTTCTCTTACAGAGAGGAAGAAAACTGAGTTGTACCATGAGTTAGCACTCCAGGCCAGAGACTTGAGGTTTCAGCATGTGATGAGTATCACGACCCGGAACAACAGGATTATCATAAGGATGGAGGTAAGGGCTGTGCTCTGAGTTCACCACTGAGTCCTGGCCAGCTTGCTTAGGGTGAAGGTTAATAGAATCTTTGCAAAATTGGGGGTAGTGGTATACACCTTTAACCTCAGCACTCAGAGGCAGAGACAAGCAGATCTCTGTGAGTTCAAGGCCAGCCTGCTCTACATAACAAGTTCCAGAACAGCCAGGACTTATCTAAAAGAGAGAAAGATTGGAAGGAAGTGGGATTTTTGTTGCTGTATATTATAAGAGTAGAACTTGTTCTGAATGGATTGTATGTTTCTAACCGGCATGATGCTGCTCTCTTTTGTGCTGGGAAATTCTGATTGTGATCTTCATTGGCCTTTGAATTTAGTTGTAGTTTCACACGAAGAAAGAATCTATTTATACCTGGGGAGCGGAGGGGAGATGGAGTGGAGTGGGGGAGTGGAGGAATGGGGAGCCGGGGAGGAGGGGAGGGAGAGGGAACTGAGAGTAACATGTATAAAAAGTTAAATAAAAAATTATTATATATTAAAAAAGAATCTATTTATAATGATAGTACTTTGTATAGCTGAAGTGGCTATGTAGCTGAAGATGAGGTTGACCTGGTCATGCTGTCTCTGTCTCCCCAGTGCTGGAATTATAAGCACAAGTCACCACACCAGCTGAAATAGATGTTTTTCCATTTGTATCCCGTAAAGTGCAGTTATGGTACAACCTTGTCTACCAAGAAGCATCTGGTTTTCCATATACACCAGGAATGTCTGTTAAATTTTGAAACCTTAGTTTAAACTTGTATCTAACACTGTCTAAAAATTGGTGTCCTTAACTTACCTTCTCAGAAGACACTGACTGTATTGAATTTCTTTAATGTAGACCTCAGTTGTTTGGACCTGTGAAATCTTATGGATCTAAAATAGATGAGAGGCCAATCAGAGGTGCTGGGCCCTGAAATATGCATGCACTTTCTTTTTAAATTTGTCTTAGATTAGATTTTTGTCCCTTAATCTAGATTTAATCAAAATAATCACAACAAAAGCAATCTGCTCCCAAATTATTATTTTTTCTCTAGGAAATATCTTCATTCTTGTTATCAGTAGCCACTGCTTCTAGAAGTATCTCTTTGTATCAATAAATTTGTGTGAGATGAAATTAAGCAGGATGTTAAACTATGGGACACAGATACCATACTGTACTGTACTATACTATACTATACTGATAGATGGACAGAAAAGTAACACTATATAACCTCTCAACTTTTTAAGAACATTTTCATAATGTACTATTAGAAGGTTTATGTGAGAAAGACCAATCCTAATTTCTATGTCATAAAGTAGTCACAGGCTACAAAATCTTTTTTTCTTCCTACATCTTTTTTTTTTTTAACCTTTATGTGTAAGGGTGTTTTCCCTGCATATATGTCTGTGTGCTACATGCATGTAGTGCCCTCAGAGGCCAAGAGAGGGCATCAGATACCCTAGGACTGGAGTTGCACTTGTGAGCCATTGTGTGGGTGCTAGGAATCAAACCTGGATCCCCTCGAGGAGCATCCGGTTCTCCTAGCCACTGAGTCATTTCTCAGCCTTCCACATGTCTTTAACAGATAATATTTTAGTTTGTCTTTAGAAAATTTTCTCTCATTTAGTTTTTAAAACAGGGTCTCACTATGTAACCCTGACTGTTCACACCCAGTTAGAAATTTTATACTGTCCGTAGTTTGAAGCACTGAGCTATGTCTTGTCTGTAATTTCAAATTAACTCAATAAATTGGTGATATTTTCAAAATATCACCCAAATTACTATGATTAAACCACTTCTAAAAGTCTATCCAAAACTTGACATTCTTTAAAGTTCAAGGACCATTTTAGTGGAGTCTGGGAGGAGAAAACAAGAGTGGGTACCAGAAAGAGGAGAATATATAAGTAGAGAAATAATTGGCCAGAGAGGTTACACAGTGTTTAGAGCACTTATTACTCTTGCAGAGGACCTGGGTTTGATGCCCAGCACCCACATAGTGGTTAGCAGCCATCCAAAATTCAAATTGCAGGTTATCTGATGACCTCTTCTGCCCTCCTCAGGCACCAAGCACACAGGTGGTACACATATGTACACGCAGGCAAAACAGCATAAAATAAAATGAATAAAATATTATTCGGAGAAAGTTAATCGTGCCTTTTGAGTTGGAGCACAGGAAAGCAGGCCCATCTGCTGTGACTTATCAAAGCATCTGTCTATAGGGGCTGGGTAGAAGGAAGGGTTCCAAGAAGGAGGTGGAGGAGAGCAGATGTTCAAGGACATGCTCAGCTATACAGTGTTCACAGCCAGCCTGCTGTACATGAAACCCTGGCCCAAAAAATCCAACCCGTAGCAAGACATCTGCTAGGAAATGCATGAGAAAATAGGGAATAGGTGAGGAACAAAGTTACCTAACCCAGTTATTCAGGAGGTTTGGCTAGGGGAGCTGAGGTATGAAGACTGCTATCTGAAGAGAATAAAACGAGCTGGCAGATCTTCATCACTAAGCCTGGAAGAGCACTAAGTCAATGTAACTTTCCATACCTCTTCTATATTGTATGTGGATACCAGCCTAAACCCTAAAACTGTGCTTGCTCTTGTTAGGAAATGAAATGAACACTAATTTGGTTTAGTTTTAGTCTAAGATTAGTAAAATGAACTCAGTTTTGTGAATTTACTTTTTGCTCCCGCTTATTAATAACCTGCATCTTGGTGGATGTGTGCATATGTATATGTACACATACATTCTTTTCTGTTGCTTTTCCAGTATTTGAAGGCTGTGGTAACTCCAGAGTGTCTTCTGATACTAGACTATCGGAATTTAAACCTGGAGCAGTGGCTGTTCCGGGAACTGCCATCCCAACTGGCTGGAGAAGGTCAGCTTGTCACATACCCGTTGCCGTTTGAGTTCAGAGCTATTGAAGCACTCCTGCAGTATTGGGTAAGCCTGATTGGGTGTATTGTCTGGAGTGAGTGTGAAGACAGGTTAGTACTGACTGTTTCAAAGCTGCTTCCACAGCAGTCACTTGTACAACTCCTCCAGAAAGACAACTTCATCCTTCAGCTTTATGACCCAGCCAAGTAAACCTAAAGACTCTTGAGAGGAAACTGAGGAAGCACTTTTCAAATTGGCTGCCTTTATACGCTTTTATGTTTTTATTATTTTTTTGTTTATTAATGCTTGTTGAATCCCCCTGTGTATACCAGTCTGGCCTTGAACTAAGGTGGTCCACCTGCTTCATCCTCTCTAGTATTAGCGTTACACGCGCCTGCCACCACACCTGTCTGTGCACTTTCAGTGACCGCATTATGGGATGAGAATTCAGGAGACCTTTAGTTGGGATGTGAGCTCAGGGCACCTCTCACTTAGTTCTTCAAAATGAATTGTGTAATGCAAGTGCTCACACACCTCTTGTTTGGGACTAAGACTGACAGGAACCATGGTTCCTCTCTCTCTCTCTCTCTCTCTCTCTCTCTCTCTCTCTCTCTCTCTCTCTCTCTCTCTCTCTCTCTCTCTCTCTCTCTCTCTCTCTCCCTCTCCCCCGAGACAGGACAGGGTTTCTCTGTATTGTTTTGGAGGCTGTTGGTCCAGCCTGGCCTCGAACTCACAGAGATCCGACTGCCTCTGCCTCCCGAGTGCTGGGATTAAAGGCATGCGCCAGCACCACCAGGCGGAACCGTGGTTCTTCTAATGACCCCTGCCCCATAAATCATTAGTTACTAGATTCCTGGGAGTTGCACAAGCTCAATCAAGGTGACCACTGCCTTCCCAGTCCCTTGTAATCTTTTATGATTTTTCCTGCCCCTAGTTAGTCTGGATTGTACTGTTGAGGATCTAGCTGCAATCAGGAGTCAGTGCTGGGAACTTATTAGCCAGAGTCGGGGATGGAGAGGACATCTGAAAGGATAGAAGAGTACCTTTCTCTGTTACCTGCTTTGCTTCAGTGAGGGGACAGATGCTTCCTTCTCTACTGGAGCAGGAGCAACAGCACTGTGCATACAGTAGTGCCTGACTGGCGGGGCTGACTCAGGAGTCATAATAAGGGAATGTATGTAGTCTGCTCCGGGAGAACAGAGGGAGCTCAGCGGTCTAGTGTAAAATAGCAATTCTTGCCTGTGCCATGGGGTCCCTGGAAATTTTCTTTCTGAAAGAGCATTATAGTATCAAGCCAACCATTTCCTCATGGTATCCACTTTCAAATAAAGGAGAGCCCCTCAGCCCATCTGTGGACCAGGACACCAGGAGCAGGAGGCTTTACCAGGACCTGGAGTAGGGTCTTAGCCTCCCAGCCACACGAAGTCCAGCTCTTGTGGACCAGAGGGTTGGTGTCTCTTAATGTTCCACTTCAGGTCTTCTGACCCTGGAAGTGGATCCTGTTATACAAAATAAAAGAATTTACATTCGGGGTTGCAATTTACAAGTCAGAAGATGGGTTGTGCTTCTGAGATAAAACGTTGTGGTGTAGTAGCATTTGTATTCTTAATTCTGCTGCTTTATTCATTAGTCTTGTGTTGTTTGCCACTTGATGTCCTATTATCAATTTATTCCTGTTGAATACAGCCATGCTTGTATTAGCTTAAGAAAAAGATACTTTGAGATTTACAGCAATTTAATGTATCTTAAGTCAAAGTCAAGCTTCAGTTTTCGTCTACCTCCCAAGGGCTGGAATTATAGGCATATGTGACAACATATCTAGTTCATGCAATGCTATGGATCAGACCTGGAACTTCATGCATGCTAGACAAACTCTCTACCACCTGAACTACATCTCCATCCTAAGCTTCAGTCGCTAAAAGGTCATTATCCACAGCAATTTTGAACAGTGTTCTGTTTACAGAAAACAGCTATTCCTAAAGTGAAATGGGTGCTTTGACTTGGAATTTCAGGTTTTTAACTAAAGATTAATTTTATATTTACTATATATGTGTGCACATGTATGTAAGTGCCAGCAGAGGCCAGGGGGTGTTGGATCTCCTGGAGTTTGAGTTACAGTTGTGAGCTGCCTGACATGCCCATTGGGAACCAAATTCTGGTCCTTTAGAAGAGCAGGAAGTGCTCTTAGCCACTAAGCCATCTCTCCAGTCCCCAGGATGGCAAATCATTCCCTAGTCCTTTCTTAGTTAACTGTCTAAAGAGGAAGGCTGTTGCGGAGGCATAGATAATGATGCACAGGACTAGGTTCAAATATTAAATACAATTTGCTTCGGGGAGAAGTCACTTACACAAGAAGCAGATGGCCGCTGCAGACAGGCTGCTCCCTATGACCCGACTAGACTTGAGAGAGCCACCTGCCCGGACCCCAGACCTAAACTCAAGTCCTTACCTGTGACCACATCCAAGCGGTCAGGGTGGATATCTTACTACAGACCTTCTGAGAGTTAATTCTGAGCCTAGTGACAGCATTACATGTTGCTCTTCTAACCCAGGAGATGTAGCTTTTGAGTCATATATAAGTAGGTGTTCTGAATTGCTCTCAGTGTTTTGGGATAGCACAAATGTCTGTGTTTAATCAGAGGCTTCACTGATCCTAAGTTCTAAAAAGGTTGTTTTAATTCTTATGAAAGGCCATGTTGTTATCTAGATCAACACCCTTCAGGGGAAACTTAGCATCCTGCAGCCACTGATTCTTGAGACCCTGGATGCATTAGTGGACCCCAAGCATTCCTCTGTCGACAGAAGCAAACTGCATGTCCTACTCCAAAATGGCAAAAGGTAAATATGGGTGATTTGTCAAGCTGGGTATTAGAGACAGATTAATTGATATCTACAGAGAGATGACTAATGTAAATGCACAGGTGACACTAGTGTGATTCTACTTTACTAATGATAACAGCTTTCCACGATGGACTCATAGTGTTTTTGTAGCGGCATTTTATTTTGTTTTTCTTTGAGGATTCCTGGGAGGAAGAGACATGTTTTATTGTCTGACCTTGAACTCAGTGGAACTCAGGCTTGCTGTAGTCTCCTGCCTCAGTCTCCTCAGTGCTGGAATTGTTTTTTGTTTTAGAGTAGTTTGCATAGGTAGGAGATTGAACTAAAGGAGCACATAGTGTAATACTGACTGGAAGATACTGCACAAACATTGTTGTAAGGCCCATCTGTCAACCCCATTCAGTAGTTAAGGCTGTCCTCATTTTGATAGCAAATTCATTGATTTAAATTACTTATCCCCCAAACTAAGGCCCATGTTCATTTTATAAATTCATAATTCATCTAAGAATTTAAATTTTCTGCATTAATTTGTGTCATACTTTAAATAAGCATACTCTAAAACTTATACTCCCCAACTTTTCTTGAAAATTTAGCTGTTGCTATGGTTCAGTAGTAGAGTGCTTACCTGGTGTGTGTGTGTCCCTGAGATCAGTCCTCAGCACCACAGAAAAAGTGTTCAAAACACTGATAAAACCTGATGTGGGGGAAGGGGTGTGGTTGTTAGAGAGATGAGGGTACCTCCCACCCCAAAACTCACACCCCTTTACGCCTTTTTTTTTTGACTTTCAAATTCTTTTTTTTCTTTTTTTATTATTATTTTAATTTTAAATAGCCTGTTTTATATGTCAATCCCAGTTCCCTCTCCCTCCCCTCCTCCCGTACCCCCCCACCTTCCCCCCCATCCTCCCACCTTATCGCCACTTCTTTCCACATAGGGGATATCTAGAGTCTGTCATTTCACTCAGGGCAGGGTCCAGGTACTCCCCTAAGAGTCCAGGCTGAGAGAGCATCCCTCTTTGTGTTATGGACACACGTAGTCTGTTTATAAGCCAGGGATAAACACTGATCCACTGCCCAGGGCCCCATAGGTTGGCCAGGTCTCCTCACTGACTCTCACATTCAGGGGGTCTGGATCAGTCCCTTGCTGGCCTCCCAGCTTGTCGATCTGGGGTCCAAGAGCTCTCCCCTGTTCAGATCAGCTGTCTCTGCTGGTTTTGCCAGCCCATTCTTTGCCAATTTGCTCATCGCTCCTTTCTCTCTGTCACTGGGTTCCTTGGGTTCAGTTCAGTGTTTAACGGTGGGTGTTTGCCTCTGCTTCCATCTGTCCCTGGATGAAGGCTCGAGGATGGTTATGGACATCAAGTTCATTATCATGAATGGGCACGTGAGGTGGTCTCTCCACTATTGCTTAGCTTGCCAATTGGTGTCATCCGTTTAGATCACTAGAGGTCACAATAGTGCTTGATCTGTCTTCTAACCTATGATTCCCTCTTTCCCCTATTCTACCCCCCACTCAACCTTCCTGTTCCCCCATGACCTACTCTCTCTTCTTCGTCTGCTCCTCTCTTCTTCCCAGCTCCTATTCCCCCCCACCCCTGGCCGTGTTCCCAATCTATTCAGAAGATCTCGCCTCATTCCTCTTCTCTGGGGTACCATGCATATCTTTCTTAGGTTCTTTCCTGTTTTCCAGACTCTCTGTCAGAGGAAGTGCAGACTGGCACTATCCTGATCCATGTCTAAAATCCATATATGAGTGAGTACATACCATGTTTGTCTTTTTGTGACTGGGTTACCTCACTCAGGATGGTTTCTTCTAGTGCCATCCATTTACCTGCGAATTTCAAGATTCCATTGTTTTTTTCTGCTGAGTAATACTCCATTGTGTAAATGTACCACATTTTCTCTATCCCCTCTTCAGCTGAGGGGCATCTAGGTTGCTTCCAGGTTCTAGCTACTACAAATAATGCTGCTATGAACATAGTGGAACAGACATCCTTGTTGTATGAATGGGCATCTTTTGGATATATGCCTAAAAGTGGGGTTGCTGGGTCTTGTGGTAGATTGATTCCCATTTTCCTGAGGAATCTCCATACTGACTTCCAAAGTGGCTGTACAAGTTGGCACTTCCACCAGCAATGGAGGAAGTGTTCCCCTCTCTCCACATCCTCTCCAGTATAAATTGTCTTTGGTGTTTTTGATTTTAGCCATTCTGACAGGAGTAAGATGGTATCTCAAAGTTGTTTTGATTTGCATTTCCCTGATGGCTAAGAATGTTGAGCACTTTCTTAAGTGTCTCTTGGCCATTTTATATTCCTGTATTGAGAATTCTCTAGTTAGTTCTGTACCCCACCTTTTAATTGGATCCTTTGGTGTTTTGGAGACTTGCTTCTTGAGTTCTTTGTAAATCTTTTGGAGATTAGCCCTCTGTCAGATGTGGGGTTAGTGAATATCTTTTCCCATTCTGTGGACTGCCTTTTTGTCTTGCTGACTGTGTCCTTTGCCTTACAGAAGCTTCTTAGTTTCAGGAGGTCCCATTAGTTAATTGTCGATCTCAGTGTCTGTGCCACTGGTGTCATGTTCAGGAAATGGTTTCCTGTACCAACTCGTTGAAGAGTATCTCCCACTTTCTCTTCTAAGAGTTTCAGTGTGGTTGGATTTATGTTGAGATCTTTAATCCATTTGGACTTAAGTTTTGTACAAGGCGATAGACATGGATCTATCTGCAGTCTTCTGCATACCAGTACCCAGTTATGCCAGCACCATTTGTTGAAGATGCTTTCTTTTTTCCATTGTATAGTTTTAGCTTCTTTGTCAAAAATCAATTGTTCATAGGTGTGTGGGTATCCCCTTGATCTCCTTTGTTGTCTTATTGCTGTAGGCAGAACTTCCAAGTACAATATTGAAGAGCTATGGAGAGAGTGGACAGCCTTGTCTTGTTCCTGATTTTAGAGGAATTGCGTTGAGTTTCTCTCCATTTAGTTTGATGTTAGCTGTTGGTTTACTATATATTGCTTTTATTATGTTCAGGAATGTTCCAGTTATCCCTGATCTCTCTAGGACCTTTATCATGAAGGGGTGCTGGATTTTGTCAAAGGCTTTTTCAGCATCTAGTGAGATGATCATGTGGTTTTTCTTTTGCAGTTTGTTTATATGGTGGATTACATTGATAGATTTTCTAATGTTGAACCATCCCTGCATTCCTGGGATGAAGCCTACTTGATCATGGTGGATGATTTTCCTGATGTTTTCTTGAATCCGGTTTGCTAGTATTTTATTGAGTATTTTTTGCATGGATGTTCATGAGGGAAATTGGTCTATAGTTCTCTTTCTTAGTTGTATCTTTGTGTGGCTTAGATATCAAGGTAATTGTAGCCTCGTAAAAAGAGTTTGGCACCAGGCAATGGTGGGCACACCTTTAATCCTAGCACTCGGGAGGCAGAGGCAGGCGGATCTCTGTGAGTTCGAGGCCCGGCTGGACCGACAGCCTCCAAAACAATACAGAGAAACCCTGTCTTGTAAAACCAAAAAATAAAAAAGAGTTTGGCAGTGAGCCTCCTGCTTCTATTGTGTGGAATACTTTGAGGAGTATTGGAATTAGCTCTTCTTTGAATTTCTGGTAGAATTCTGCACTGAAGCCATCTGGGCCTGGGCTTTTTTTGGTTGGGAGACTTTTGATGACTGTTTCTATTTCATTAAGGGTTATAGGTCTGTTTAGATTGTTTATCTGTTCTTGATTTAGTTTTGGCAAGTGATATCTATCCAGTAAATTGTCCATTTCATTTAAATGTTCTAATTTTGTGGAGTACAGATTTTCAAAGTATGCCCTGATGATTCTCTGGATTTCCTCAGTGTCCGTTGTTATGTCCCCCTTTTCATTCCTGATTTTGTTAATTAGCATGCTCTCTCTCTGTCTTTTGGTTAGTTTGGACAGAGGTTTAGGTTTGTCTATTTTGTTGATTTTCTCAAAGAACCAACTCTTTGTTTTATTGATTCTTCTCAATGTTTTCCTGGTTTCTACTTTATTGATTTCAGCCCTCAATTTGGTTATTTCCTGGTATCTGCTCCTCCTGGTGAGTTTGCTTCTTTTTGTTCTAGAACATTCAGCTATGCTATTAATTCTATTATATGACTGTTCTCCAGTTTCTTCATGTGTGCACTTAGTGCTATGAACTTTTCCTCTCAGCACTGCTTTCAGAGTGTCCCATAAGTTTGGATATGTTGTGTCTTCATTCTCATTGAATTCCAGGAAGTCTTTAATTTCTTTTTTTATTTCTTCCTTTACCCAGGGATGGTGCAATTGTGCATTGTTTAATTTCCATGAGTTTGTAGGGTTTCTGCGATTTGTGTTATTGTTGAATCCTAATTTTAATGCATGGTGGTCTGATAAGATACAGGGGGTTATTCCAATTTTTTGTATCTGTAGAGATGTGCTATGTTTCTTATTATGTTTTCAATTTTAGAGAAGGTTCCATGTGACGCCGAGAAGAAGGTATATCCCTTTGTGTTTGGGTGAAATGTTCTATAGATATAGGATGGGTTCTGACTTCATATCCATTCTGCTAGTCTGTGTCTTTTTATAGGCAATTTGAGACCGTTGACATTGAGGGATATTAATGACATTAATGTCCTTTGATTGATGATTCTTGTTTGTGCTTGATTTATTGGTAGTGGAGTTATTGTGTGTAGATTCTTCTCCCTTTATCTTTTGGTGTTTGGTAAAATGGGATTATCTATTGCCTGTGTTCTGTGAGTATAGTTATCTTTGTTGGGTCTAGGTTTTCCTTCTAGCACTTTCTGTAGAACTGGATTCATGGATACATATTGTTTAAATCTGGCTTTGCCATGGAATATTTTGTTTTCTCCATCTATGGTAATTGAAAGCCTTGCTGGATATAGTAGTCTGGGCTGGTATCCTTGTTCCCTTAATGTTTGTAGGACATCTGTCCAGGATCTTCTGGCTTTCATAGTTTCCATTGAGAAATCAGGTGTAATTTGGATAGGTCTGCCCTTATGTTACTTGGCCTTTTTATTTAGCTGCTCTTAATATTTTCTCTTTATTCTGTAGGTTTGATGTTTTGATTATTATATGGCGAAGTGACTTCTTTTTCTGGCCCAGCCTATTTGGTGTTCATGAAATTCTTGTACTTTCATAGGCATATCCTTTTTTAGGTTAGGGAAGTTTTCTTCTATGATTTTGTTGAATATGTTTTCTGTACCTTTGAGCTGTATTTCTTTGCCTTCTTCTATACCTATTCTCAGGTTTGGCTTCTTCACAGTGTCCCATATTTCCTGGATATTTTGTGTTAGGGATTTGTTGGTTTTGAGATTTTCTTTGGTTGACGACTGTATATCCTCTAATGAGTCAACACCTGAGATTCTCTCTTCTATCTCTTGTATTCTATTGGTGATACTTGCATCTGTAGTTCCTGATGGTTTACCCAGCTTTTCTATTTCCAGCATCCCCTCATTTTGTGTTTTCTTTATTTCTATTTCAGCTTTCAATCCTTCAACTGTTTGAGTTGTTTCCTTCATTTGTTTGGTTGGTTTTTCTTGGTATTCTTTAGATTCTTTGAGAGATTTGTTTATTTCTTGAATTCTTTCCCCCATTTCATGGATTTTTTGTTTGCTTGTTTTTTCTTCTATTTCTTTAAGGGATTTCCTCATTTCCTCTTTGAGGGTCTCTATCATCTTCATAAAATAATTTTTAAGTTCTGTCTCCTCTGCTTTGTCTATATAGTGCTTTTCAGGTCTTGCTGGCATTGGTTCTCTAGATTCTGGTGGAGTCATGTTGGTCTTTCTATTGCTGAGTGAGCTCTTATTCTGTCTTCTTCCCATCTCTTCTTCCATTGGGTTTAGGTGGGGTCTTTCCATCTCCACTGGTCTCCTTCCTTCCTGAAGCTGAAGCTGGGAATGCTTACACTGAAGCTGAAGCTGGGGTCGCCGGAGGTTGGGGCATGGAAGGGCTGATGCCTTTCCTGTGTGGGCAGGTCCTCTGGATGCCAGGAGGGGGTCCCCGGAAGATTGAGGGGATGGGTGTTGGGCGGGGGATGGGGAGTGGCCCCCTGGCTCACCTGAAGCTAGGGTCACCGGATGTTGAGGCCTGGAAAGGCTGATCCCCTTTACGCCTTTTAAGTACTGGTAACCAAACAGGTTCTCTGGGACAGCAGTATGTGCCCTTAACCACTAAGCATCCACCACTGTACCACAGCAACAGCCCTTAGCTATTACATTTCCATGAAAAGTTGGGGAGTACAAATATCAGAGTATATTTATTTAAATTATGACATGAATTAATTCAGGTGGTTAGGTTTGGTGTTAAGCACCTCTGCATGCAGAGCTATCTCAGCATCTCAGAAAGCCAAAAGTTTTAGGTATTTTTTGTTTTAATTTATTATAAATACAATATTCTGCCTGAACCCCAGAAGAGGACTCCAGATATCATTATAGATGGTAATGAGCCACCATGTGGTTGGTGGGAATTGAACTCAGGACCTCTGGAAGAGCAGCTGCTGAACCATCTCTCCAGAATTAGAAGATATTTGTTGTTGTTGTTGTTGTTGTTGTTGTTTTCTGAGACAAGGTTTCTGTATATAACAGTCCTGGCTGTCCTGGATCTCGATCTGTAGATTAGGCTGGCCTCGAACTCACAGAGATCTTCCTGCCTCTGACTCCTGAGTGCTGGCATTAAAGGCGTGCACCACCAACACCTGACAGTTGTTTTAGTTTTTATTATTGGGGGAGTATGTGCGTATTTTATTATAGTGTGTGTGTCGGGGGTAGGGTATGTGCACATGTGCGGAGGTTAGAACAAGTTGATGGAATTGGTTCTCTACTTCCACTGTGCGAGTCCCACAGACTGAACAGTGCTCATCAGGCAAAATGCTGGAACTTTGTCAAGCAGCAGTAGTCACCATGTAGTTCACACCATACTCAAAACTGGGTATGGTACCTCACATGTAATCCCAGCACTCAGCAGTCTAAGGCAAGAGGATTGCCTCAAGTTGGAGGCCAGGCTAGGCAACAGAGTGATACCCTCTCTCAAAAAGGGGCAAAGGAGGGGGTGTTTAATCTGAAAGAGCCCTTGCCTGTCGTGAACAAGGCCCTTGATTCAGCATTCAGAACCACACATAAAAAAATGAAATGGTCTGTGTATCCCCTCCCTGCATATATCTCACAAGCAAGATTATGAACCTCATTGTAGCTCCTCCTGGCCTGTGTATCATAGGATTCCTTTGACTTTTCTGGTCTGTAACCTACTTACTGTAAACCTCCCCAGTGGTCTCTAATAATTCATCTTGAGTAATTCTTAACTAAGGATAAATGCCTAAGCATTTTACCTTAACTTTTAAATTTCTAGAATGACATAGCTTTGAAAACCACTAAAATTATTGTATATAGAGTTGTGTCATTGCTGCTCTGTTGGGGAAGTCTTATGCTAATAAAGCACTGTCTGGCCAATAGGAATCTAGATAGGTGGGACTAGGAGTCCAGGAGGACTCTGGGTAGGAGAAACACGAGGGGTTCGAGATGTAACCGCATGGGGTAGGAAGCCGGGAACTACTCTCCGGTAAGAGACATACTTAGATTAACAATTATGGGGTAATTACTTAAGGCAGAGCTAGCCAGTAAGGGACAAACAAGGCCAACAGCTTCATAATGAATATAGCCTCCTGTGTGTTTATTTGGGACTGATGCGGCTCTAGAACCAGGCTGGCGCGGCAGAGCCCAGGTGACTGGCGGGGGATAAACCAAATCAGCAAGCAAGGAAAAAGCTTCTCTTAACACTGCTCTTACTAATTGGTTTGGGAATGGTTAATTTGCATAATTGTTGGAATGTTTCTTACCAGCGTCCTCTGAGTGATAGGTGGATCCACTGGTAAAATGCCCTAAACATACTGTTCTTACAGTGAAATGTTGCACCTTTACATTGCTGATCTTTGCTGTGTAACTATTTTTACAGTCTCTCTGAGTTAGAAACAGACATCAAAATCTTCAAAGAGTCAATTTTGGAGCTTTTGGATGAGGAGGAGATGCTGGAAGAACTCTGTCTAACCAAGTGGAGTGACCCACAGGTCTTGTAAGTATTGCCTTGTGTTGTTTCTTCCTTCGGGTGAGCCTATATTGTCTAAAACAGAGACTAGGCATTTTTCACCCTTAGTCACTTTGTCTTCCACATGGCCCAGCTCAGTGATACTACATTGAGTGTGTACTGCATTCCAGCCACTGGTGGGTCCCATGGTGGGTGAGAGACAAATACGCCATACAGGCATATAGGAAAGGGAAGGAGAGAGAGAAGAGAGAGGCAAAGGCCTGCCTGCCTCTTCAGAGGGACTTCAAGAAAGAGAGAGTGGGAATAGGTGGAGCTTGTGTCTTAAAGGGAACTTTTGCTCCTGCATAGAGCCAGGGTACTGCTTGCCATGTATGGAGGGGTGATGTATTCTGCCTGGTCTCCAAGGGGCAGGATCAAGGTGTGCCTGGATACTAACAGCTGGGCTGAAGAAAACATAAACATCACAATTATCCTCAAGGGATGAATCTCACTTAAGCAACATATGTGAGATGAAATAGGTTTCCTAAGGAACAAAGGGCAACAGTTGCATGGTAGAGGAGACCGTGTGGATTAGATTCTGTAAGTCTCATCTGTTACAAGCATATGGCTTACACACTTTTTCTGATGAGAAATCATTTGCTATATATCAGAGCAGGTTCAAGAAGCACCTACAGAGTGTGAAACCCACTGTCTGATCTGTAATACTAAATGCATTTAAAAGTCACTGGAGACTTGAGTATATTTCTCCAGGAGACAGTGGTATGGTTCTAAGTACTCATGCTCGTCATTCACGAAAAAGCATTGAAAAGCAAGGAAAGGGGCTAGTGAGATGGCTCAGCAGTAAAAGTGCTTATGTGCAAATCTTCCAACATGAGTTCAATCCCTGGAGTGCATGTAAAAGTAAAAGGAAAGTACCAATACCGCAGTTGTCCTCTGATCCCCACATGTGTACCATGGTGAACATTCTAACACATACACCACAAAAACAATAATAAATAGATGCCTTTTTTTCTTAATTCCCCCAAGACAAAACATACAAGTCTCTTTTCCCAACATTTAATTTATACAAACATGCCAGACTAGAGATAGCAAGGCTCGGTAATTCACGTTTACTAAATGTATCATGCAGGAAAGGCGATGCCTGGTAGTGCATCACAGCTTCAGATCACATAGGATGTGTTCAGGGAAGCAGATATCAGCAGTTAGCCCTCTCTCTGCTCACGCATCCAGGAAGCAGAGAAATTAGCTGCTACTGTATTTGATTGTCTTCAAAGGGAAACGCTCTTTTTAATGTATGTAGTTGTTTTGTTTGTGTACCACTTGCATGTTTGGTGCCCACAGAGGCCAGAAGAGGGCACTAGACCTCCCAGAATTGGAGTTATGGATGGTTGTGAGCCACCATGTGGATGCTAGAAATGAAACCCAGTCATCTGAAAGAGCAGCTAGTACCCTTAACCACTGAGGTATCTCTCCAGCCCCAAGAAATGCTCTTTTCTATTTAGTCTGGCTTTTCTTGTGCTTCATAGTAGTCTAGGATTTGCACTTTCTCATCAGTATTCACATTTGTATTTTCTAGTCACTAATAGCAAGTGCGCCCATGCCTCTTTTGAATTGGGGCCATGGAGCACAGTGACGCTAACTTATCTATGTAGGGCTTAATGCATCATGCTTAGGATCAGTTGGCATAGCTTCTCACAGATTGGATGCAATCTAACAGGTGAGATAAGGATGGCTTCCTCACTGGAGGCTGAAGTTGGGGGTCGATCGATATGCGTTGCACATGATCGGGTTTGTTGACTGTGTTAACTCTGAATTGAAGTGAAAAGAGCAGTACTGGGATTGACCATGCAGAGGAGATGGAGCTGCTGCTAGAAAACTACTACCGGTTAGCTGAGGACCTTTCCAATGAGGCTCGGGAGCTTCGGGCTCTGATTGATGACTCGCAGAGCATCATCTTCATTAATCTAGACAGGTGAGGATGCCCTACAGAAGATGGTAAGGACTAGGTTATAACTAATACTGCAGAGTGCTTTCTAAAGAAATGGGTTTTTGGACGAAGTCACACTATCACATCTGTGACTACTTATAAGTGGGCCTTCTTTTTAGTTTCCTAATGCCTGACAAAAGCAACTGAAGCAAAGCTGGTTTATTTGGACAGTTTGACATGGAAGCCACAGGGCAGAAATTTGAAGTAACTGGACCAGTGAGTTGAATGCTGGTGCTCAGCTCACTTTCTCCCTTGTGATGCTGATTAAGTCCCCAGCCAGGGATTGGTGCTGCCTATGGTGAGGTGGGCCTTGCCTCCTCAATTGAGAGGTTTGTTTCTATGGTGATTACAAATTAAGTTACAATATTAACTCATCTCAGGACTTTTTTGAAAGGAGAGAGTGACCCCATAGGGCTTCACTAGCTTTTGCTGGGTTTGCGTTTCCTGGTCTAAATTGCTTGTTTTCTCTCTAGCCATCGCAACGTGATGATGAGGTTAAATCTACAGCTAACCATGGGAACCTTCTCTCTTTCACTCTTTGGACTAATGGGAGTTGCTTTTGGCATGAATTTGGAATCTTCCCTTGAAGAGGTAAGAATGTAATTTTTTTAAAATAACAACAGAATTTTTTAATGTTTAAATGATAGAAGAGTTTTATTAAGTATGACCTGCTATATTAGTTATGTTTTTCATTGCTGTGACAAAATACCTGGCAATGGAAACATAAAGCAAGTGCTTATTTTGGCTCACAGTTTAAAGGAGTTACAGTCCATCATGGCAGGAAAGGCAAGGTAGCAGAACATGAGGCCTCTCCTCACATGGTCCACAGACAGGAAGCAGGTTACTCTCTCTCTCCTCACATGGTCCACAGTCAGGAAGCAGGTAACACTCTCTCTCTCCTCACATGGTCCACAGACAGGAAGCAGGTAACTCTTCTCTCTCTCTTCGGTTAAACCTCTCTGGAAATACCCTGACAGATTTGTGACTCCTGGGTGATTCCAAATCTAGTCAAGTTAACAGTGAAGATAACTGCCACATCTGCATATTCCCATGAAGAGTTAAGCATAGGCTGTAGTTCACTTAGAATTCAGGCTGGTATCGTTGGCCCCTGTGTATGGCTATGACTGTAGTCTACATTGCTATATTTCCTAGAATTAGAAGTACTCAGGAGAAGCTGACTAACACAGACACCCTGTGAGGCAATGGTAATGAGGGATTTTATTTTTAGTTCTATGTGCACCCTGTACCTAGAAGTTCACATACATAGGACTTGTTTGATGCAGAAATCACAACTCTATGAAAGATATATTTCCCCTACTTTGTAAGTGAGGAAATGGAGGCTCAGGAAACTTAGTAAATTGTAGATCTAAAAACCAGAGGATTTCAACCCAAAGATAGATGCTTTCCACTTTGCCCTCTTGCCTTTTCATGTAACACCAAGGTTTTTCAAGCCACTGTAGCCTGGCGTTTTCAGGGGAGGTCTTCAAGGTCTCTAGTAATGATCAATGTGCAGTTGGCACTTTGATGTTTGGCCCTCCATCCTGTATAGTTTATTGCTTCTGTGACTGTCACTGTGGTCTAGCCAGTATCATCTCTCAGTTCCACACATCTACAAAAAAGGCGTTCTTTAGAAGACTGACTATCACAACAGTCTGCATAAAGATATTCCAGTGCCTTTTGACTGCCTTCGAAGTCCAGACTCCCAGGTCTGTAGATATCTTCTGGATCCACCTCAGACAACTGCAGCCGCTCGTGTCTACTACGCTCTGTTCATTCTCAGAGACCTTGGCTGCACAGCTCTCCCCTCACCTCCCAGCTTTGTTGCCTAGTTCAGTCGTAGCCACCTCTTGGGTCATAGCTTTTAAGATTCATGCTGTGGCTGGGTGTTGGTCGCCTTTAATCCCAGCACTTGAGAGGCAGAGGCAGGTGGATCTGTGTGAGTTCAAGTCCAGCCTGGTCTACAGAGCGAGTTCCAGGACAGCCTCCAAAACAATACAGAGAACAGAGAAACCCTGTCTTGGAAAAAAAAAAAAAGATTCATGCTGTGTTAGTAGAAACCTGAAATTACGAGGTATGAAATTGCCCAAAATTGTAAACATTTTAAAGACCAGTCATACTACATTGATGTGGAAAATTACATAGCTGGTCTGTTGTGGCTCAGTCAAGATGTGGGTGCACTGAAAGTATTATATGAAATTATCTTTGGACTAATATACATATATTAGGTGCATGTGAAATGTTTTTTCTTTAGACTCCAAAAGAAAATACCATTGCTATGTCACATGCCCACCAAGAGGAAGCATATACCACTTGTATTCCTGCCTTTCAAAAGTTAGTGGGTTAGCTTGTAAAACAGAGGATAATGAATGTCGAATGGTGCTTCTTTCTTATTTTTTTTCCAGTTGATAATGTAAATACATAAATTGAAACATGTTTTGGTCCCAAGGAGTTAAGAGGGGATATAACCAACTTTCTTAGCTAACCCATAAGCTAATATGTTTTATGCTTAACTCCAATATTCTTACTCAAAGCCTATACCCCACACACACACAAAAAAAGTGGGTTTTGTTTTGTTTCCATTCCTTTTGATCCAGGTGTTGTAGTGCACACCTGTAGACTCAACTCTTTGGTAGGATGCGGCAGATCTCCTGAGTCCAGGGAATTTAGAGCCAGCCTGGGTAGTGACAAACCTTTTCCTTTACAACATCCTTTCTGATATTTGCATTACCTGCAGTCCTAGGTACGGAAGAGCCCAGTTGTGAGACATTTGAGGTATGAGTGGTAACCCTGTCCCTGCTCTTGGTCTCAGGCCTTCGCTGTAGGCCAGGTCCCTCACTCTTTCTTTGGGAGAGCTCTTAGATAACAGCAAGGCTCCTTTTAACTCTGCAGGAGGGTTTGTCTCTGAAGAGCCTAACCTTTGTGATTAGAATGAACCCTGTTTTTCTTTCAGGACCACCGTGTGTTTTGGCTGATTACAGGGATTATGTTTATGGGAAGTGGCCTCATCTGGAGGAGGTTGCTTTCCTTCCTTGGAAGACAGCTGGAAGCCCCTTTGCCCCCTATGGTATGGACTGGGAACTCACAGCAGCACTGATGTGGGCTGCAATCCTGGGCAGAAGTCAGGTAGCCCGGGTTTCAGTTGTCACAAGCTTTGTAACTCTGGGCAAGGTACTTGTGTTTTCTAACTCTCCTTACTTTCCGTCTGTTAATCCAGTCAGCACTATATGCTTCATATGATTTGGAAAGTTCCGTGAGCTGAGATGTTTAGCAGTATCCAACACAGCAAAGCAGTTAGGAGTTACTTGTTTCTGTAGAACACTGGCAAGAAGCATACATTGAGGCAGATGCTCATCACTGCCAGGCTTTCCCATAGCCATACTGAAATGCAACAGGGCTCCATGAGCCCATGGGAGCTCCTCTCCTCCCATGTATATGGAGGCGCATGGATGGAGTAAGTGCATAGGCTCTGCCTGTGCAGTCCTTTGTTTTCATCTGGTTAGTGACGTCTAAGACACAAACTGATACTCATTTCCTGCTTTATTTAGATGGCCTCCTTACCTAAAAAGACCCTTCTGGCAGATAGAAGGATGGAAGTGAAAAACAACCTCAGGCCGGAAGGACTTGGAGCAAGCCGTTAACAGCAACTTTTTATGCTTCTGAAGCTATTATCACTCTCTGGGGAAAAAAGACAACTGCTGTTTAAATCGTGTCTGACTTAAAATACTGTGGCATCCACAATACTAAAGCATGATTGTGTCGTCAGAATTCTGTGAGACAAAATGCTTCTTTGTAAAAGGTCAAAATTCTATGTCCTACCAGCCTTGAATATTGTTTTTATGGGCTTTTTAAGGTATAGATTAATTTATTGCGAGATAGACTTGTCTACACTGAGTGCTGTTATACATATGAAGAAAAGTGCAGATCCATGCTAAAGGAGCCCAGGAACTTGGCAGATCCTATAGTCCCTGAGCTCATGGGCTGCAGTTTTCAGACAGGGAGTCACATTCCTATCAACTTCTGACTTGGGGGAAGAAAACTGTTAGCTTTGCAATGAACTCTGCAATGTCAGCCCTTGATAGAACCTTATTTTTGGGTATTTGCTCTTTTATATATAAGATAAGTAGAAGGGAAATATAATTTAATGTCAGCATACATGAATTCTGGTTAATCAAGATGGTACTATTTTTCTTTGGTTATAAATAGAGCCTTTGGAAGTAAAGTTGAAAGGAAGTGTGATTCTCTTACAGTTTTATAGCTGTTTTGATCGTTGCCTTATTCAAGAGATTGTCATGCTGTACTGCCCCCTCAAAGGAAATGCATGCAGCCAGCTACTTTAGTCTGTTTGCCTACCTCTCAAAAGTTAGCTGGTGGACTTGTTAAACAAGAGAATAGTTACTCTAAGAATGGTGGGAACGTTATCTTCCCAATCAGAAGTTTGCATTTAAAACAAATGATAAAGCAGGACATGGTTGATCCTTCACCCATAATTCCAGTCCTTGAAAGGCTGCAGCAGGAGGATTATGAAGATGTAGAGACCAGCCTGGGCTCAGTGAGCTCTGGGCCAGTAGAGGTTTGGAGTGAGTTGCAGGCCCACCTGGACTATAAAGAAAGACCCTGTTTCTCAAACACCAAATAAATGGGATTGGGGGTACGGCTCATTGTTAGAGTGCCTGCCAGCATGGACAAAGCTGTGGGGTCAACTCCCTAGTGCCGAATAGTAAATAACCAAGTAGTTGATACCTGCAAGTCTGAAAGCTGCCGTCCTAATAACATTCTACCCACCTTTGTGTATTTTCTAGAGGGGTCATTGAGTTGTGTGCTAGAACATTACAGTTAAGTGTGCTTCCAGAAGTAGAGCACTTGTAAGATTGTAATGAGGCCAGAGAAGCTCTTGAAGCCTACAGGGTAGGAATAGAGGAAGTATACCCACCACAGATGTTGTATGCCCAATTACGCTAATGCGTCCCATAAGAATGTCAGATTCATTTATTGGGTGATTCAGTGATGGGAATAAGAATGTTATTCCAGTAGAAAACAGAACATTACAAAGTGAGGTCCATTCCTGTGTGAGACTGTGAGAAGCTGGCTTTGTGTCCCAGCCATGATATGCTGGAGTGTGACCCTGTGGAAACTGTAGCCGCTGAATCCTTTGATAGTGTCCAAGATCATCTTTGATGATGCCTGGGTTCCACAGCACCCATCCTAAGCAGACCCAAACCTGCTATGATTGGTCTTACACTGTCTTTGGTTTTGCTTGACTGAGATACATGAATTGAAATCCATTTGATCCCAGGTCACATAGGATAAAATTCATTTATTAGTTTATAAGCCTAAGTAAAGTAATTGTCTTAATTAGTCATGTACCTCCTAGCAGTAATTACTTCTCCAGACAGATAAAAGGACAGAACTGGTGGTTTGTACGTTTTTTAAGGTGGTTAGGTCAGGGACGGAAAACTGCTTTGGAAGGCTGCCATCTTTAAGGTAACTTCTCTTGGTGACACACGCACGATGTAGTTCTGTGCATTGGAGGCTATTTTGAGTTCAGGCCAGGAGGAGTGCTAGCATTGTGTTCTTCTTGGAACCCGGGTTCGCATTAGATTTTGAGGCCAACCTTTCTTCCTGTCAACCCCATCTGTGCAAACCCATCCGTGCTCTAGCTTTGGGTTTGGAGGTACAAGCCCGAATGCTCTTTTGACAGGGACGTGGGATTTCAGCTTGGAATTTCATTTTCTACATGAGAGGATAAGGGCTCTGTCAAGCAGGGCACACTGTGAGTGAGCTGGACAAGAGCATACTGGGCAGACTGTCCTTCATCGAGGCACACCTGGAATTCAGCATTGCACACATCTCTTGTATTATGGTGTCACCGTGCTTTGTAGTTTTGGTAATGACCTAAGCTTATTGATAGAAAGCAGTATCACAGCTGGGCAGGTGGTTTGTATAATTGAACAAATTCTCTGGCGTGGGGGCTCGAAAAGGTCTCTTCATTAAGGTTGCCAACCCCTTTAAGAGCCTCATTGGTGGTTCCTACCTCTGATGGGACAGGAGTGCTGGGATCCGTGCAGATTTTGTCCAGGAATTGGGCCTCATAAAGAGAATGGAGCTGGTCCATGCTTCCAATATGCTTGTGTTGCAGCCACAGTTGAGGTTTACTGTCCCGTTATCATAACAAGGGAATCATATTTGGCAAGTAGTTTAGCAAGGCATGGCTGGATGCCCTCCACCATCAGAGATGTAGCTGCTGTGGGTTTTATTTCCTGCAGAATATTGCAGAAAGATTCACACAGCTCCTCCTGCTGTGTTAAGATTAGGTTTATGGTTGAATTCATTGAGTAGATCTGTTTTTCCGTCTCAAAGATCTTAGCTGTCAGAGTGTCGGTGTCAGGGCTGGTTACTGATGCTTTCAATGAGGTTTTAATTACCTTGCTAAAGGGCTGATCAATATCAGGGTCTGCCTTGAGGTCAAAGGCCTCATCAATGGACAGACAACCCCTTCTTGAGCTTCTTTGAGGATTCACTATCCTGAGAACTTGATGCCATTTTGCCCCAGGCATCAAGGGGGACTTTATCAGAGCTACACCAATTCTGAAGCTGCCAAAGATTAAGCAATGGAATTTTGCTTTAATCTCCTCCCCGGTGTGATACTTTTGACAGTTTTGTCCTTATATTCAGAGCCTCTGAACCAGTGTGGGCATAGCAGAGGTCATCCTATGAAATGATCCCTCCTCGTGTTATTCTTGACAACTGATAGAATAAGTACTAAATGACTCGTGTTGACAGGCTGTTTGTGTGGCAGGGCCCAAGAGCTGCATCAGCTTTATTTCTTGGAATGGCATCACTGAAGCTACATTCCAACTTTAGCGTGATAACTTCAGTAACAGCCACAGAGATGGTCTCATGGAGGACTTGGAATTGGGCCCAGAGACCTGAGCTCTGCATCACAAGCCCACCCCCAATCATTGTAACTTTGTAGTCTGGGACAATAAAGCACAAAGCAATTCCTATCTTAAAGCCTTGAAAATGTACAGAGAGGAAGCTAGAAAACCAAAATGTAAATGGCTGTTGGTGTCTTGAGGTAAAAATCTCCAAGCTAAACAGTCACATCAGTTAGTGTTGTTTCTGTTTCTCTCTGCTTGTGTGTCTAAGCATTGTGGGCTGATTCTTTGAACCTCCATCAATGCTTGGTGGGAGGAAATTTTAATCTACCTGTTGAGGATAATACTCACTGTCGGGTGCTAATTTTTTCTCTGTCAGGTCAATATTCGTCATAGGTTGACCTTAAAAAGTGGTGTAGCACTTACTTTATTTCTCACAGAGGGTTAATATGTTACAGTTGTCAATGTGACAATGTTACAGTTGTCCTTATGACGATCCTGTTGACTTGAAGATGTTAACCATCTCTAAAAGCTTTCAGCTATTTCTACCTGGTGCCTGCTACCTGCTATGTTCAGACATTGAGCCAAAGACAAATCCTGTGGACAGCCATGGCCATATTTAGACAGGCTCTCATCAGTTAGCAAAGCAAAAATGCTGGCACTTTGGGGCTAGAGCGTCGGCCCAGGGTTGCAGAAACGCATGCCTGGTGTGCACGAGGTCCTGGTTTAGCCCTGCCATTTACATTTGCTGATTGGCTGTCACAGTGGCAAAGCAATAACCCTTCTGCTGGTAGTGTTCTTCAGATAGGTTGAACTGCCAGTTACTACCCAAGCAAAACCACATGTCCCTGTGTGCTTTCTGCTGTTTCAGGAGGCTGTATAGTGCACACTCAGAACGGCTAGTCTGGAGCTTGAGTCTGGGGCGAGTTTGTGAACTGTCCCTCTTTCTTTCTGCCCTGTGAGTTGTCTGAGTGGAGACATTTCTCCTTTGATCGCCTCTTCATTTTCTACAGAGGGATTCCTTTCTGAGTGGGACTTGTCACCCATTTCCTTCTATTTTTGATATAATTTCCTAGAGTCAGAAGGAAGAGTATCTCCCTTGGCTGATACAGACAAGCCAGTCACTGTTAGCAGGTACAAGTGAATTTCTCCTGAAGCCACACTGTGGGGATGGAGCACAGAATCTACCCTAAAAAATGGGCCACAGCCCACTTCCACTGGGTTCCTCCCTTACAGTCACCCTGGGCTCAGGCCACACCACTCCTCCCTGCTCTGTTGATGGGTGGGGCTGGCAGCCTAGCACAGTAAAGCCCCACCACCCTGTGAGACTCCAAACCACAGTGGGCGAGATTCATCATCTGTTGGAACAGCAAGCTCCACAGACTTGCGTGAAGCACGAGATAGCTCAGTGAACTGTGGTTGTTCTTCTCAATCCTCCTCGAGGACGGAGCAGTATGTGGGCCCCTTCCCCCATGCCATTCTCTTTTCTTCCCACAATGTTTCCACTATATATTGTACTTGAATGTGACAAAATGCCCAAAATAAACAGCTTAAAAAGAGTAAATGTTTATTTTGGCTCCCAGTTTCAGCCATGTTGGCTCCAGGGTGCTTGTCCCTGTTGCTTTGTTGGGGAAGAATCAGTACATCGTCGCAGCTGGGAAGGTGACAAGGATTACTTCGAGTCCTGTACACTCCAATGGCCTAACTTCCTCCAACAAGGTCCCACTCTAAAATTTCCACCCTCCTTCAGCTGGGGACCAAGCCTCCAGCATGGGTATTTGGGGGGCACATTTAAGAGGACCAGCCACCACTAACAGATTTTTAAAAGAGCGATTATATAGAGAGTAGGTAAGAGCTGACTACACCTTTCTAGGCAAGAGAGAAACGGGTGTTCAAGCAGAAGAGGAGGGTAATTGTTACAGTCCCAAGCACAGGCAGGAAGCTCAGAGAAAACACACAGTGCCTTCTGCTTCCCAACATCTGGTGTCTACACGTAGCTGACCATACTTCCAGGTAACCTGGCTGTCAGTATGTCTGTCCCAGAAGTCCCACCTGTGTCAGCCTTCACAGCTCCACTAGACGAATACTTTGTCCACCCTGGAGATGACTTGACCCAAAGAAAGGGGCAGAATAGGAGAGTGGAGTCTTCAGTCTGAGCTAAGGCTGTAGACATGAAGTGCCCCAGAGAGCCGGGCTCCCCAAGAACTTCTTCCAGCAGCAACAACCACTTGGTTCTGTAGAAGGCACAATATAGACAGCATTCATGACATGTTCCCACCATGAAGCAGACATGTGCTCTGGCAATGCATAGGAAAGCAACGCTGCCCAGACCCCATAGCTCCAACTTAGGTCTTTCTTGATCTGTAAGTTCTAAAAACCACATTTGTGGAAGATGACCCCAGCCCCTGCCTCCTGTACATAAAAAAAAATGGAAAATATGTGTGTGCTTATTCCAGAACATTGATTGCACCTAGAGTGCTGAGGACTTGATCAGGGCTACCTTCACATAGCATTCCTGCTGCCTAGTGTTCCCAGGCCCATCTTCCAGACTTATTTCAAAAATATGCTGCAGGTTGTGAAAACATTTTAGTAATGGCAAGAGCTTCACATTTTGCAGTTAAATTTGATTTGGGGAAGTTCCCAAGTTATTTTAAATCATTACTGGTAAACGAAGTATGGCTGGTCATGCTAGCTGCTAGCATTTTAGAGCAGGCTATGGCATTCATCTTGTTGGTTTCATTTTAGTATGACTAACAGTCCCAAAATGGTGATAATGGCAACAGTGTATTGAGCCCTTACCCTGTGTCATATTCTAAGTGGAGCCCTTCCTGGCACCTCCTAATACCCCAGTGGCAGCAAAAAAGAAAATCTTTTCAGTAACAAATGGTAACTTCTTTTTCCTTATTTATGTAATCACTAGTTGATGAAATGTGCTTTTACTTTGGCTATTCTAAATCTCCATTTCCTGGGCAAAGCATGCTCCTCGCTGAAGTTAACCCTTCCCGGCTGCCTGTCATCTCCCTAGTCTAACCATCTCAGGTGTCCCCTCGAGGCCCATAGGTTCTACAAGGCCTCCTAGACCTGGCCAGCATAAACAGCCACTGTCGTTAGCTCTGGGTCATTGTACATTGGTGTCAAAGGTCTTGGTTGCATTTTATCCTTCCACATAAGCTGTTTGTGGGAGAGAGGCTGAGTCTCACTGTTCCGTCTACCTCTCTGCTGCCCAGTGAAGCATCACAGTTAATGTTCTGCTGAGGCTCACCACATGACATGGGCAGTCTTAAGAAAAAAGCACAGAGACGGCGGCAGTGTTCCTCAGGAATGTATGTCTCCGGGCTGCCAGTTCCCATGTGTCCTAGGAAGGAAACCTGTCTTGAGAGTCCTAATTCAGGTCTCAGGGAAAGGCCACTCTGATGTGCTCACGAAGCCTTAATGCCCTGTTGCAGTGAGCTGGGAAAGCGAGGGCTGTTAATATTGACACACATGAACTGCAGTGAGGAGGCTAACTTCTAGAGTTGCACAGTCCAGAATTAACTGACGAACTTTCAGCCGGCCTTTATCACCACTGCCTTTGGTCGGTGTTCTTGATAATATCTTGATCTTTTTTGAAGATGCATAAAATTGTAAATAAAAGCCCAGTGTATCCTTTGGAGAATCCTTCCATTCGCTTAGTAATTGCTGTTGCTAGTAACTAGCCCTATTTCATCAGACTTGTCTGTGTCGGTGAGAACTGTTGGCCACTAGAGGGCACTTTCACCATGAGTCAGTCTCACAAGCAGGACCTTTGTCCCCAGCACCTCCCAAGCCTTGCCAGCCTGCCCTTAGGACTCCTGCACCCTATTCTCTCTAGCCTTTAGTCCTATGCCAGTCTCATGGATTGGCCTTTCCAGTGTGTCTTCAAGAGCAGTGGCTGTCTTGTCTTTGTATTTTATAACCTAGTGCAGTTCTATGATACCAAATCCTGAAATGAATGAACTGTTTAGCGGTTTAGTTTGATTTCCTTTGTTTTGAGGCAGGGTCTCATTCTAACCCAGGCTGGCCTCAAATGCCTACCTCAGCTTCTCAAGTGCTGGGATTACAGGCATGAGCTACCCACCTGGATCTCTAGAAGTTACATATTAAGGTAAATTTCTTAATTCTATATTTATTAAAATGTAATATTAAATTTATCCTTTAAAAGTCCCTCTGCTGTGTTTCTTGCCCACAAGGATATTCACACAATTATGTAAAAAAAAAAAAAAAACGTGTATAAGCATTGTAATAGTTTCAAAAAAATGGAAGTAACATAATATGGGAATGTAATTGACCTGAATTATGGAATGTCCAGAGAATAAAGTATCGTGTAAGTATTGGGAAGGACTAAATGTGTTGTGTACTTATTTGATAGGAAGTGAAAGTTCATAAAAACACACCTATGAAATGTGTACCTGTCTAGACCCGTTTATAACAAGACTGACAGGGCAGCCAGGGTGTTGCTCATCATGTAAAGCTGCTTGCCACCCAGCCTGCCAGCCTGTGTTCAGTCTCTGGGACCCTCATGGTGGGGGAAGAGAACCGAAGTGTCGTGTGGTCCTCAGCACCACAAGTGTACTGAGGCACACAAACATACATGTAACATACAAACATTTAAAAACCAGCATTCTGGACAAAAACAACAAAATCTTAGCGATGGCTGTCATAGCGGTGACAGTCAGCAAGCGTCACGAAGGACTGGGTATGCTGTCTTGGGCTGTGTGAGAAGTTGGTGTCAGAAGCTGCAGCTGCAGGGTGTTAGCAGCCATAGATCAGGAATGGGTGAGCACGTGGGAAGCAGCAGCCTGGGACCTCAGCAGCACATAACACCACCCTTGAGTCATGGACCCAGAAGTTCAAACTGGTAAACATCTCTTGTCAAGAAAGAAATTTCCCCACTACTTAAATATGACAGCCATTTTTTTAAGTCAAACATAGTTAGCTCACAGGCTGCTAAGCCCTGCTGTAGAGTAGGAGTGGGGGGAGCATTATAAAGAGGGGGGTAAGTTCATGTGTTACTTTTTTTCTCTAAATTTAAGACATGAGGTTACCAGATCTGGTGTCAAAGCACAGGTCCTGTACTCACCCTTTCCTTAGACCTCACAGAGACCAGCGAGCTCCCAAACCTTGAACTTGCCTGTAAGACACACACCACAGTTGTTCAGCAGTTGCCGTAAGTACAAGGAGCTGGGGGCAGGGGTGTCAGACATTGGTGGGGGATGGGGAGGTACTTACCTCAGGAGAAATTAGTACATACTGTGCCTGGAAAAGAGGAGAGAACAGGGAGGAGACTATTAGTGTAATTACATGATTACATGGAGAGCTTTGAGCCGGTCTGTCTGCTTCGTGTTCACTTGTTTCCAGACTCCTTACAAATACGCATGCCCCTTAACCCCAGAAATTCCATCTACAGCTTAGATCTTAGCACATATTCCTTGTATGGAATCTTTTACATGGCAGTGTTTGCCCTGTGGATTAGAATCAAGTCAATCCAAGTGACTAATGATCACCACTCAGGAAGGTCAGTTAGTGGGTTTATTCCAAGATAAAACAGTTGGCAGATAATATAGCCCCAGCCCCATCTCAGCAGGCTCTCCTGTAATCCAGAGTGCTGGATCTGCTTCTACCTCTGGGGTGCTAGGATTACAGCATCACCACCATATTCCACACCCATCTAGAACTGTACTTTCTCCCATAAAGTACTATCTGGCTTTTGTTTATTTTATTTGGGTTATATGTGTGTGCATACATAAGCATGTGCCCAAGGCCTACATGTGGAGGTCAGACCTTTTTTTTTCTTTTCTTTTTTTTTGGGGGGGTTCGCCTCGAACTTACAGAGATCCGCCTGCCTCCACCTGCCAAGTGCTGGGATTAAAGGCATGTGCCACCACTGCCCAGAAGAGGACAACTTTTAAAAGTAGGTTCCCTCCTACCAGATGGACTCTAGGCCCTCAGAGTTGGCAACTGACTCCTTTACTCACTGAGCTTCTCACTGGCCCAGCAATGTTCTCAATTAATATAGCTAATACACCAGAATTCCTAGGTCCAGAAGTTTGGATTTGGGATCTTTCTGATTCTGGAGTATCTATAGATACATTGCAAAATTTTCAAGCAATGGGCCTGAGACTAACTAGAGGAAATATTTTACACACATATTCTGACAATTCTATATAATATGCTGATGACTTTATACATGAGACCAGCCTCCTACTGTAGAATTTCCACTTTTGATATGTCAGCTGTCAAGAAGGCTAAGCTTTTGCAGCATCTCAGACTTCAGACAGCATGCTCTGTATGATTAAAATCCAGCACTTGGGAAGAGGTAAGGGTGGGGAAATTGAAAGTTTGAGAAATAGGTCTTAGCTCAAGTCCCTGGCTGCCATTTTCAGTGTGACTTGAACACAAAGAAGCCCTCTGTCCTTTGGTCCCTTTGTCATTGGCATCAAAGTAGTTTCCTTCATAGCTTTGAGGTGGATTCAGCTATACAGAATGCTTGAGTTCACACCAAGTAGGACTGAGTACTGCTGGCCTGTAATCCCTGCACTAGTGAAGCAGAGGCTGGGGACTACCACAAGTTCCAAGCCAGATAGGTCTACAATAGCAAGACCCTGCTATTTAGGCTCACCCCCAACCTCCAGAACAGTAACATTTCAAAGTGGAGAAAATACTAGAAGAGTATATACTCCCACTAACAGGGAAAGCTGTAGAGCAGAAGTCTAAGAGTTAATGCTCTTGTGTTTCTGTATTTTCTACATTTTTCACACTAAACTTTCATTTATTTTACAATTTAAGAAATAATTTTTTGTTTATTTTTGAGACAGGGTCTTACTTTGTATCTCTGCCAGGGAACTCACTATGTAGACTAGGCTGGCCTCAACAGAGATCCAACTGCCTTTACCTCCTGAGTGCTGGGATCAAAGGCATGTGCCACTCTGCCTTAATTTTTAAATTTAAGAAAAATAATAATAGCCAAGCTAATAAGGAAAGTCATCAGAGAAAGGAGTAACACAAAGCAATAAATGAGAAACAAAAGGTTGCAGGTTTTAGTGTAATTTCATCGATCAGAATCTTGCTTTTAGTCCTGTGCCCTGGGCACCTTCAGGCCATGGCCAGCTGTAATCAAGGACCAAGCCCAAATGGGCTCCAGCTCCCAACTGCAACCAGCACAGCTGTAAGCCCTTGGGCAGCAAGGCAGCACACACTTGGCAGATGACTAGGCACGGGACCTCCAGCCATTTCTGGACCTCCCTCATCATGGAATCCATAGGCCACCTTTACCTTCTCCTCTGGACATGGAGTCATCCAGGATCTGCAATTGCCTGTCATGTCACCGAGGGTGGTATGCTTGCCATTATAAATGTAAACTTGCCCATCTTCTCCCCCTAGCAGTCCAGAAGTAAGGTCTGTTATCCTCAGTGGGGCAGCCATGATGATTTCATCTGTTAACCAAAAGTGGACAGAGGCGTTAGACTGTTGCCAGCCTTCTTCCCTGCCCATGGACCCTGAGCCTACCTCCCACAAGTCGTCAGCCTGCCCTTCTATTGGCCATGGTTTCCTCCAAGTCAGTCAAAGGCCTTTGTTCCCCTTGCCATCCATCAGAATGGACCTGGTGACTTTCCCACTAAGACTTTAGGAAGTGCAGATTGTTCTTGTACATCCAAGTTCTATCAGGAGCCGTTGAACCCAGGTGTGGCACACACATGTCATGCCAGCACTGGGGGATGAAGGCAAGACCAGTCATTAAAGAACAGCCTTGACTACATGAGGAGTTGGAAGCAAACCTGGACTATGTGATACTTTGTATTAAAAAAACAAAAACAAAACATTGCCCCTTGGGCCAATCAGAGGGCAGAACCTTGGCTATCTAACTGTGCACAGACAGGTCCACTGGGTATAAAGGGAGTGACTTTAACTAAAGTCACTATTCCCACCTTACCTAAGCCATCATCATCCAGGTCAGTCAGATGTAGAACGCTACCAAATCGAGAAAAGCTCCGGTCTCCACTGAAGGTGCTGAGGAGAGCAGGCGGTGTCTTCTCCGGGGCTAGCTCATACATGTGAGTGACTCCACCCTGGCGCAGGGTCATGGTTAGAAATGCCATTTTAGACACATCATCTGAAACAAGTCACAGGGTTTCCTGGTGTCATAAGAGTGAAGATAGGATCCCAACAGTATTCCACTTGCCCCCTCAGGCATATGTACACAAAACAGTGAGTGGTTCCTGGGGGTGGTTAACTCCAGCAGGTTGGAGGATATGACCAGCAACGCATGGGCACTGAGGTACACTCAGGTAGCTCAGAGACCCCATCACACAGCACCTGTGATCCATTCCACCCCTCAAGTACATTCTTGTCCACAAGACTATCTTCCATCTTTTCCTACCTCTCTTTTCTTCCCCTCTTTGAGACAGGCCAGCCTCAGATTCAGTATCTAGCTGAGGATAACCTTAACCTTGAACTCCTGATCATCCTGCCTCTCCCAAGTTCTGGGATTATAGATGTGCATCACCTATAATGAGAATTTTTTTCTTTCTATTGTATTTCTTAGAGACAACAATTTGCCACAAAAGTCTGGGAACTTCAACTATAAACATCCAATAGGGTCATAAGAAAAATAAAACGAAGGGCTCAGCTATTAAGATCACTGGCTGCTCTTCCACAGGATGTGGGTTCAATTCCCAGCACCCACATGGCAGCTCATAACTGTCTGTACCTCCAGTTCCAGGGGATCTGACACCTTTACACCAATGCACATAAAATGAAGCTAAATAAATCATTTTTTAAAGGAAAGAAAACAAAGTAAGTTATGTGTACCTGGAGAGTTTGGAAATGGCTTCCTAGAAAAAGGACAGAAGGCTCCTCTGCAGTACTCTCTCAGCATGTTCTCACTGTCCTGTCCCCAACCATACTGTGACCATGCAGCCACGCCTTTACCAAATACACTCTTACTATTGCCCTCTTAGAGTAAGCAATCATTTAGAAATGATTGCTTTGCAGGGAAGGTCTCAGAAAATATTGGCTCCTCTAGTCTTGGAATCTCCCTGAGGTGCCCATCACATCAGAAAAGTAGCCCACAGTTTTCCCAGCTCTGGTTTCTATCCCTAAGGCCCAGCCCCTCCTCCAGAATTGTGTCAAAGCAACACCCGACTGTTTCCCCAAAGGATAGTTACAGGTGCAAGTGAGAAAAATTCAATATATGCAAAAACAAACATTTTTGAAAAATATTTGACAAAGAACATGCTCACGAAAAGATACAGATATATTTTCAAATTAAGAATGAAAATCACATAAGGAAGGTGCTGGTGGGCCTTCTATCCCATCCCTTAATCCCCATACACTTCAAGTGGCCATTATTAAAGGACTTGATTACCCTAAAACTAAAATAAAAGAATAAAAATAATTTTAAATTTTAAATAAAAGTTGAGCTTTTTAAATATTTTTTTCTCTGTGTGTGTCTCGTGTGTATAAGTAGGTGTCCACAGGAGCCAGAGGTGGCAATTGTGAGTCACATGGCATGGGTGATGGGAACCAGAAGAGCACCCAGTGCTCTTAGCCACTGAGACATCTGTCTACCTTGTGAGTTTTGGATGTGTTTGTTGAGACAGTCTCGTGTAGCCCAGGGTACTCTCAAACTCACTATATAGCAGAGGCTTGCCTTGAATTCCTGACCTCCAGCCTCTACTTGGCCTACAGGAATGGGAACCAGCAGAGTCAATTCCAACTTTTTTGGTGAGCCTCAGCTAAATGGTGTCTCAATAACAAAAACAGAACAAAACAGAACAGCTCTTCTCTAGCTCTGGGGTCAGTAGTGTGGGAGCTTTAGACACACTTTCATACATCATTTTCAACAACTTTTGAAATAAATACTATAACTACTTTACAGGTGATAATAATAGAAGTTCAGAAAGGTTAAATAGCTACAACAAAGGTACACAACTTGCTACTCATGATTTTTGAAAAGGAAATATTTAAGTCCACTTGTGCCTGGCAAGTTACCTTGTCTTTCTGCTAAGGCAATATGGTCAAAGAGCCTTATGGCATGTGGGATATTTGATCGCACTGTGACACCCCAAGACTGTTTTCATAAAGTTAACCTTGAGTCAGGGGGCAGAGCCACTGGCTAGTTGACAAGAATTAGTTATAGAGAATACAGAGAAGCCCAGATATGGATAGAGAGTCACAGGAGGAGTAGGGAGGGACTTGGAGATTCTCAGGCTTTTGTCCTTCCCTTTTGGTGTGGGAGGTGTGGAGAGAAAGTCAGCTGGTCATTCTTCCACCACATCTTTGATCTATCATACTTTCACCCCAATTTCTGACTTCTGAGTCTTTATTGGTAATAGAACAACTAAATAAAAAAAACTGGTGCCAGCTGCAGAGAGATATTGGATAATAGGAAAAAAAAACCTGCTGAATTAGATTAGCCTGTATATTTTAAGGATATGTTGACTTCAGAATGGAAACCAGGATATGTGTTATGTTGAAGAAGAGGTCTTGAGGTCTTGCTTTTGTTTTAACAGAAGAAAAGCTATGGGTACCATCAAGATCGATAAAAATTAAGTTCAAACAGGAGAGACCTTGGGAGAGGTAACAGTTCATCAAAAAGCTTGATCATGACGGGTGGTGGTGGCACATGCCTTTAAACCCAGCACTCAAGAGGCAGAGGCAGCCGGATCTCTTGTGAGTTCGAGACGAGCCTGGTCTACAAGAGCTAGTTCCAGGACAGCCTCCAAAGCCACATGACTTTCTGTCATGATACTACTAATGATCATATAGAGTATTAACTAATTCTAGAAATAAGCTTTATCTACTTCCTTTACGTGATTTAGGGCTTGAGTCTTTAGCAGGTAAATAGAAACTAAGTACCCTGGATGTATTTAACAGACAATGGTTCTTTAACTGCTCAGAGATCTGCTGCATATGACATTTAAAATGTTTTAAGTTTTCAGCAGTGCACTGAGACTATTCCTGGCATTGACCTCTGAAGTCTCCAAGAAGACAAAACCACTTGCAATGTGGTAATGCCACTAAGCTGACAAACACAACCCAAAGATCAATTTCAGACTATAAACTGCTCAGGACAACTTTGAAGCAGTTAGCTAAAATGGTCCAGCCTCTCAGACTACTCCAGCCAGGACTTCAGATAAGCCCTGCACTTTCCCATCACACAGAGACTGAACAACAACAGCTAACTCTCCCAGGACTTGACCATTATCTCAATTTTATCAGGATTCCCTAAAGATACTGTTGCCCCCAGACATAGGAAGTAATTTTAAGAACACAATGCCCACACTCCCAAAAAGTGATTTTTTGTTTGTTCAGTAGATTATGGATGTTAGTCATTATTTAGGGGGGTTGGTTGTAAGTTGTTATTGGTCAAGGTCAGGGAAGAAACTAAGGGGGGTATAGGAATGATAAGATAAAAGGGTAGATTTTTTTTTTTGGTTTTTTTCGAGACAGGGTTTCTCTGTATTGTTTTGGAGCCTGTCCTGGAACTCACTTGGTAGACCAGGCTTGGTCTCAAACTCACAGAGATCCACCTGCCTCTGCCTCCCGAGTGCTGGGATTAAAGGCATGCACCACCACTGCCCAGCAAAAGGGTAGATTATTGAATCTACTTTTTAACTAAAAAGTAACTACTAGTCTCAAATATTTTACAATGGTAGAGACTTTTGTATATTGATATAAATTTAAGGTTGTTTTTGTTATAACATACTGTATATATGTTCCTACTCTTGAATTTATGCAGCTCATTTAAAAATGTAAAGATCTAGTCCTTGAAAGCTATTATTACAAACTGTTTAGGATAATTAAGAAATTCAGGTTAGTAGTTAGTCATGTGTAATAATCAAACTTGTAGTAATGTTAGGTATGTTTTCAAGGTCAAACAGCTATGCATTTCAGATAGATAAGTGGTCTTCAAACACTTCAGAGGCCTACAGAATATGGCATTTAAGATGTTTTAATAACATAAGGGCTTTTCATGACCGTGGGACACATCTCCTGGCAACACCATTCTACTTCAGAGAAGATGATGAGCATCAAAGAACCTCCATATAAAGTTTGCTTTTATTGTGTTGAAGTTAGCCACCCTGCCTCTATTGCTGGCAAGGACACAATAGAAGGCAACTACTGAACCTTGACAAGACAAGATGGGACAGTTCTTCAAAATTCTGCTTCCCAGAAAAGTCCTTCAGATATCCTAGGTCTATAGGCCAAAGACAGATGCCCCAATGTTGCAGAGGAAGCTTGAGTGACTATCCAGGAAGCCAACTATCTCTGTAATTTTTATAGTTTTAGAAGTTGTTTGCTCTGTATTTCCTGTTTACTCAGGTAATATTATATCCTTCTCGGGTCTCTAATGGAAATTGAAGACTAGATAGTTTTACAATTTTCTTTGTTACTAAAGTCAGAAAAAGAAACTTACAAAAGAGATGTAAAGCCTATAAGGTTAAGAGACATAAAAGTTTAAGTTGTTTATCTAAGAAAACAATTTAAAGTCTAAAGAATATTTTAGCCTGGTAATACAAATTATAGAAAGTGGTTTAGGTATAAAATTTTAGATTCATCAAGATAGGATAGATAGGTCCCTCTGGCATCATCAGGTAAACAGGCCAGCTTCCCGGCCTGTGTTCCAGAGCCTGCAGATCGCCTGGGAACTGCACAGAGCTCCCAATCCCGGCGGGAGCCAAGCACCCCAGACTCCAGATCTTCTCTCCCACCAACGATTCCAGGAAAGGAGAGGAGGCTGGGAGTACAGGGAAGTAGCTGTCCCTCTGGCATCATCAGGTAAACAGGCCAGCTTCCCGGCCTGTGTTCCAGAGCCTGCAGATCGCCTGGGAACTGCACAGAGCTCCCAATCCCGGCGGGAGCATCAGGTAAACAGGCCAGCTTCCCGGCCTGTGTTCCAGAGCCTGCAGATCGCCTGGGAACTGCACAGAGCTCCCAATCCCGGCGGGAGCATCAGGTAAACAGGCCAGCTTCCCGGCCTGTGTTCCAGAGCCTGCAGATCGCCTGGGAACTGCACAGAGCTCCCAATCCCGGCGGGAGCCAAGCACCCCAGACTCCAGATCTTCTCTCCCACCAAAGAGACCAGGAAACTACAGGAGCCAGGGAGAC